GTATAGGTTTACGTGTGTTAGTTATGTATTGTCAATACTGTCCTTTGACTAAGTTATGTTAATATGGTCTTACACACAGGTGCGCGTCCAATGCCGCACCGCCTACATAGGCTGCCTACGTATGCCCATGCGCATATCAACTGCAAGCAACTTATTTACCGTGTCAACTGTACAATACAAGTGTTCATGAATGAGAAACGAGTACTAAATGTATGCTGTCTTATTCATGTATTGATTTGCCTGTCAATTTAAATGGATTTTGCTTTTGAATACTAAATTGTGAGGTATTTGTCTGGTTGATTTTGTAATGGACGGATAGGCAAAAAGGAGTCAAATGAGCTATAGATTTATCACAGACAAGTGATGATACCTTAAGGCAATGTACCTATGTCGTGCTATTTCCTAAGGTACCACTCAAATACATAGGAGAGTTCCAACGGATAATGGCAAAAAAAAATAATTGTGATGGAAAGTCAGGTTTGCTACGAAATGTGCCTAAAAGAGAAGTTTTATTATTGGTGCTGATAAAAGAATCTCACATTTCTTAGTCTTATTCTCCAAAAATTAGCCGCTTTTTAAAAGTTTTCTTATGGTATAAGCCGGTAAACGAGCAGACGGATCACCTGATAATAAGCAATCAGCGCCGCGCATGGACACCCGAAACACCAGACGCGTTACAAGTGCGTTACCAGCCTTTTGGAAATTAGAAATTTGAGGATTGTTGGGGGTTCGGGGATTGGGCAGACCAGGAGAAAATTGAGCCTCCGGTATCCTCACTCACACGACGAAACGCAACGCAAGCGTTGTTCCACGTCGGTTTTCTGTGAGGCCGTGGTATCAATCCGGTTGAGCCGGCCCATTAGTGCCGAAGCATAGCTCTCCCACACTTAAAAAAACACCCTTAATTATATCGAAATATGTATGTAAAGTATCCACCAATTTCTTCGAGTTCCTAGAATACACACAGTGCATCAAACACTAAACAAAGATGGCGCCAGTTAGCAGAAAACTCGCTAATTGGTGGTCTAGGCGATCGCGGTTATGTTAACAAAACTACGCATGCGTATTCGCATCTTACATTATGCTTACATTATTCCTAATGCAAATATGCTGTGAGCACGGAGAGATCTGTACTTATACACTAAATTAGGTGTTTGTAGAAACATTTACATTAGAAGATGAAGGTTCTAAAGATAGGGATGCAGTTGAAGAAGCCATAGTTCGTCGCCATTCTAAGCTATGCAATAAAGATCTATTATGACACCACGGACAATAAAACAATCTCAAAAAAATGCTGATGCACTTATTTCACGACCAATTTCGACATGAGCTGCTGTAAACATGAAAAACTATATCAAATTGACACAAACATACTATGGATTTATGACCATTTTCAGTCTTATTAGACCACAAAATAAACATTTTTTTGTACATATTTTGAAAACGATATTTTCAAAAAGCATTTTCACAAACCTTTCTAATGTCGTGGGATGCAACCATCAGCATTATATTATTTATAGAAAATATATATCGATAACTATCTAGCCGTGTATGTAGCAATAATCGTAGTAACGACTGTGTTCCTCAAGGCCGTGAAGTTGGCAGGATATCATGTACATATAGCATTTATACATACGTATCACGTAACATCGTCATAGTCCTTGCATGGTCCACTGAGTTTAATATTTTAGAGGTACATTGCTGTACTTTTAATTACTTATTGATTTTAAATAGAGCAATAAGTTCTGGTCGGAAGGCTCCTGTGGATATAATAGGATTGTATGCTTGGAACTTTATTGCCAAAAAGATTAGATGTAACATTTTCGTGCAGCTCTTTTGCCTAGGGAAAAACAGGACACCGTCAGGCTCTTTTTTAAAAGCGATTTTCCATTCCATCTATCTAATGATGGAATCTAATAATGAGAACTAATGATGAGGAACGGGTGAGTTAAAGGTGCGCCCTGGTAACCCGCAGTCGTCCGCAACCCCGTCAGTAAAAACCACTTTGGTGTCCCGTCTCTCACAGGTACTACATGTTCCACAACCTCAGTTAAACAACGTAAGGTACTATCTAAGTATAATTATAACCTAGCTTTTGCAAGATTCTAATCTTATCATACCCATGTTTGACTACCATACATCCTATGCAGTGATAGGTCATTCACCTTGCATTTTGTACTAATAAACTATACGCTTCAAAACCTAATGGCGGCAAAAGTTTATTTGAACATGGAAACCACATGGTTTAAGCAAAATAAACAATTTCTATAAGCTATGCAGTATTTGTGTTATTATGCATGTACGTGTGAAAGTATGATCTATGAAAGTCTAGCAAGACTGAATGATCTTAAGTGAGGAAAGGTAGGAACACTACAAAGAGAAAGCAATATTCATAATGTAGCAGGACAAGTACAAAAATAAGTACTTTGGTACGTTGTGAATAAGATACACAATACACTAACATACTACAGGTACATGCAGATACCGACAAAATAAATTTAATTCTAAAATTAAAAACATTATAAAATAAATTTATAAAATCTAAATTCTCAATAATGTCGCAGAACAGACGAGAACTACTTTGGTTGTGTTGTCGGTGTTCATGAGCAGCGTCTATTGCTTACCACATTTTGTGTGCCGTTTGCCGCCTATTTCATAAAAAAAAAAAACAAATTGACAGAAGCTGATATTGAAAAAGTTACATCTTATATGACCAAAGTTTTGAAGACTCGTCGCGACAACATAAATTGTGGGATTTAACGTTTTAAAGAACCTTCAACAGCTTATAAGAAAGTTAAACGCATATTTGGTGACTACAATATGAGAGTAATACCAAAGACATTTATATTTGAGCATAAAGAAGGCACAAAATTTAATTGGACAAGCGAGTAATAAGTCATGTACCTATTGTGGATGTAACCAATACTGCAGAAGTTGCAAAAGGCCGGGAAACAGACTATTACATCTCGGTTGTCGACCATCGTCCAACCTGTAACTCGTTCTCCCACCATCCATTCTTTTAATCCTTGAACTCTTCGCAGCAGTGACAATGATCTACATTACTGTTATGGAATTATCATGCAGACTTCTAGGGTTTCTGGTCGACAAAGAAGCGTAGTTTTTTCTTAGTTTGATTTACTTTTATTCGTTGAGTTTTTGAGGCATCTCACAATCGCTCTTATAAGATTTACACCTGGGATAACCTAAAAAATGGCGCTTTAAGGATTTCAACTGCTAAATCTTTACTGGTATTTTATAGATATTATCATAGGAATTACCTATCAGGTTTCCAATGATCCTAAATAGGAATATTTAAAAAAAATCTATTTTTGTCGTCACGTATGTGCCTTGTTCGTCTTCTGTTTGTTCCATTTCTTAGGTAATTTTAGGAAGGCCCGTTTTTGTTCCATGTTTTTTCTTGGCTTATTGAAATATCGTATATAGAACTTAGAATAGGTCTTGATTGAAAGCGCTAATTCATACAATTTATTTAACCACTTCTCAAAAAATATTGTCATCTTTCTTTGATATAATTAGCACGAATATGAAATCACTGAAGCACCAATAAAAATTATTTAATGTTATATTAACATTAAATAATTTTTATTGGTTTACTCTGCTTAAAAGTGTCGACTTTCTCACACATATTATTTACAATCTTCTTTTAATTAAGAAACAATCTCACTTGACGCATTTACTAATTAGTAAAGTACGACGCAATCTTTTTTTCAGACTTTCTATTGCATCTTCAAATTAAATCTGAAGCTAAATTAGTTTTCACTTCAGCCTTATCAAGTCTGAATAATGTTAAAAATGCAGCAAGCAAACGATTACAGTAACTCCGTAGTCGGTCTCAGTTTCAGGGGTAAATGACCTGAATCAATCGTTCGACTCCATTCGCTATATTTTTTGTTACCTAACTCCGGTGCTCAGGCGCTGCCGTACTAAAACTCGGATTTTACCTTTTAATTAACTGTAAAAATATTTGAAATATGATATTACAGCACTATAATAAGTTATTATGAACATTGGTTTTTTATTTCTTATTCTTGTGTTCCATCGCGTGATCATAGGACGTAACGACTTTATGCCTTTGCCTTCAGTTTTAATGACTTCACTTTTTATTCGGAATTGTCGATTTATAATAAATAATCGTTCGCATGTTTGATTTGGTCTTGTTGGTCAAATAATAATGTAAAAAACTAAAAGTATATTTTCAATTGCCAACACAATTATAGATAACTTAGGTAATGCCTATTTTTTGCTTCCTGACAAATCTTGAAGATGACGCGTCTACTCTTAGGTCATTAGTCATGTTTGAAGTTTTCTTAACCGTGCAACATCGCGCAGAATAAAATTCAAGTTGAAGTAAATGCTACTGTTTCGGAATTTATCTCCGAGTAGGAAGCTAATTATGTCCACGTTTGTTTACAAAGACGACGCAGGTAAAGTGATCCACTCATTGACGCCTCCAGTCCAAGCTAAGACATTGATCTTTAGTAGGTGTGTGTCGGTAGGTATTTAGGCCAGAGCGCAGTCTCGTCTTATTGAGAACACAAGCACAGACAAGAAAATCTATTTTTTATCTTGCTCCAAACTAATTATCCGAGTGGAAACGATATTTTCGCGTTAGTCGCCGACAACCATGTGCGGCCGACACTTTCATTTTACTTATTCGATTAATATAAGTCGGTGGATTTCACTAGCCAGTAGCCACCTATTTAATTTTGGTACTGCGCAGCGCTGAAGTCTGGGTCTGACGCACGGGTTAACGCGGGTCAATTGTTGTACTATGTTTCATAAAGTTAATTTTCACGCGGGAAACACACACGTAGACGAAGGAAACCGCGTAAAAGCGCAGTGTGAAACTCCCTCGTCAATGCAGCGTCCCAAAATAAGGCGCAACTATATTTAGACGTAGGAAATGCCTTTACTACTGAGATTAGTTAGTTTGTGACAGTATAGACCAGGGGAGCCAGTAGGTAGGAGTAAGTACTCACCAGAATCTTGCGCTCGCACGTTACAGCGTTTGGCGGATACGTGTTTATTTCACTGATATTATTTTGGTTCGCGTCGCCGCTCGTCGCTCGCGCAGATCCCGGTCGTGTGGCGCCCGCCCGGGCGGTGTGCCGACTGGCGCGCCGGTCGCGCGCTCGCGTTTCCTCTGTGTGTGCGTGTGTGTCGCGACACACAGTGCTGGCAGTACGCACCGTGCTGCGTCCGTCAGCCACGACTAGCGGCTCGTGCTCCGACACAGCCCTTCTTGACCATCTCCTCCGTGTCCGTAGGGAAGCCACACTACTGCACCATCCGACACACTCTCGCACCGTACACTGGCTCTGCTTTACATCTGTGTTGTCATTTACAAGTAAGAATGTAGCACAAAGTCCCGCGCGTGTATTGTTGGAATACGCGCTGCGCACGATTCGCGAACTATTCAACCATTGAATTAGTGAACCGATGCGATGTTTGGCTGCTCTACATCGACTGTTACTTGGTAACTGCTTTGTATTGTCCGCCGCGGAGATGTCGGTAATAAAACATTATGTAAAATATTGTAACAATACCTAGACTATACAGACACTAACTTAGGCACTGGAGCTTTAGTCTGTTTAGAAATGGATTTGTTAGAAACATAAACCAGAAATTCTTTCAGTTGGTATTTGGTTCATTCTAAATATTTGCTGCTTTGATCACCATCAATGAACGCTTTATTTGAAACCTGCATCAGCACCAAACCTACTACTTAGCACACACTCTATCCTCCAAATCCACATAAATCTACACGAGACTTAGGTACACAGAGCCACCAACAACATCTAACCAAATTCCTTACCGATCACTAGATTAGATGCACAACCACCACCTACACTCATTAAGTCATTACCTAACTTTACCACAGCACACCACTTGCAACTTCCACCCACATTGACTGACAATGTCACGAAGTGAAAGGCTCCTTACGTACCTGAAAGACTCACGAATTGAGAAGCTCCTAAAAAGTTTAGGTAACTTACCACACCTTGTGCCTGGTGATCATGAACCGTTATATGCAATTGCTATCTGAGTAACAGACATAATAAAGATATTTGTGACAAACAAGTGACTTTTGTGACAATTGGAATTATCTAACACTAACATTTCATACTACTCCAAATAGTCAAAATCTTGAATAGATTTTCAATCTTATAACCTTGCATTAAAGTAAAAAATGAGTAGATACAATACTTTTACTAGAGTCAACCCTCTTTACAATGGCTAAGAAAGCTAGTGGAATATGCGTCTGCAATCTGTATAGCAGCACAGCCCTAAAGGAAAAAAAATGCATGCATGATGCCATGTTGTCACACCTAGCCCTGTAAAAATGGAGGTGTTTTTAATAAAACGCAAGAATTTCACTCAACCCGTGTTCTCATTTACCATAAGAAAATAAATATATTGGATACATCAGCAACTTAGATGCCAATCCCATTGTCAAGGATTCTAGATATTTTACAATTTCTTTCAAAATACACAAAAATAACCTTCTTACAGTCGGGTTAAAAGAAGAGATCTGTATTGTGCCCTACACTTGAAAGATAAAGGCAATATTTATCCAACAGAGGAGATAATCCAAAATGAAATGAGTTTATCGCTAGAATTCATCGCTAGAGGCGCTTGTATCGTTTTAACTTTGAATAATTACAATTCCAGACGAAATTAAGGAACAAAGATAGGATGAGTTTACAAACATTGTTTCCGTGGACTTTTCTAGATTAATATAAAATGCGGTTTTTATTTTCAATAAGACAATGGGATAGGCTAACTTTTTATACAAATATTACATTTTACAATACACATTTTATACTACAGACTTCATATTCGAAGTACTATAATTTATAACGGTACAATCTAAATTATGATCAACGTTTTTGTGCGTTAATTAATTTTATATAATACATTTTATATTTGTAATATGCAAAATACATATATATATCTAATAATTACAGTGCTATATGCCAAAAAGTATTTAAGACCTACCGAGAGAACAGAAATCTCCTGCAGAAGTAGGAACGGAATGGTATTTTAGTAAGTAATCACTAATCAGTATGAGTCTGACATTCTGTCGCCTCGCCAAGGGCGGGAGGAATCATTTGAAATGATTTTCCCCTCTCAAAAAGGAAATATGACTAAATGTTATTATATTTTATTTTATTTTATTTCAACTCCATACGACCAATGTGTACAGGTGGATTTAATGCCTTGGGCATTGTCTGCCAGTCAACCTTTAAGCAGTGCAGGCAATGTCTGTGTAATGTATTCAAGTCCGGTTCACCCTCCACTAAATTTTAAGGAACCCCTAAGCTAAGATAGGCGTCATTTAACGACATTTCGGTCATAACCAAGCTATAAGTGATACCTAGCAGTACAAGTAAGGGGTGAGTTTATTTGCTACGTCGCGCTAAGTAACTTTTATTTAAGAGATGAATTAGGGGTAGTTGATAAAACCATTGGGCCATAAGTTTTCTATTCTCTCATGTAGACTATCACTTCAATACGATTTAGGTGATAGCACAGATATACCTAAGCAAGATATTATTGTTGGGTCAATACAAACGTGCGAACTGTGCCGTCAAAAGAGACAATGCCACACAACTCGCTTAAGTGTGAGTGAGAGGTCAGATAAAAATGACTCATGACAGTTCGTACGTTTGTAATAGCCCAGAGGCTTTAGTACCAGTTGGTTTTACGTTAGAAGTAATCAAAACGAGATTGCATTCGACGGTCTGATTGGCCGGCACCAATGAAGCAACCAATCAGAGCGCAGAACACGTACTCGTTACGATTACTTTAAACGTAAAAGAAACTTGTACTAAGGCCTTAGTATAGTATAGTGACATCTACACAAGGATTGGGATAATACACCTATTACTAAATTCAGCAAAGGTTACAGTACAAGGGAATACTTACAATGGGTTTATATGCTAAACAATATCTACAATTATTCGTAAATCATACTTATCTATATATAGGTACCTATAGGATAAAATGTGCCCATAGTCCCATTTTAGCAATACTTATATTTTTAAATTATAATCTACAGGTCAAGAAGCATAGGTAAGGGTAAGGAAAGCAGTGCAAAATAAGAGAAATAAAATAGCAAATAAATAAAATCAACTAATTTATTTAACTAAGGAATGTTCTACACTAAAATTAAACTAAAAACTTACTACTTATAAACGAAAAATTGAACTAAAAATATAATAAATTACTAATTAAAATACACAACTCATGTGATCATAATGTTGAATAATGTTTACATTCCAAGTAATCACCTGTTTAAAGAGAGTTATGATATACTCCGCTTGCATTAAGGTTCAATTTTAAATGCAGCGGCTAACTATAAGCATAGAAAAATCGTATAAAATCATTATAAATTTTTATAATAAACTGGCAAGATGACGAATTATAATATAAACATTATTCAATCAAATAGTTTGAATGAGTAAAGGTATACTTTGGCCTTAGGAAATTTGAGCGCCATAAATAAGGTCATAATATTAAAAAATAATAATTTTCGATATTCTTTTCACATTTTTATTTGGACTATAAATTCTGTTCTTACTCTCTTCTAGGGCCCTTAGAAAATTGGAATCCTAGATCAATACCAGATTGTCTAAATAAAATCGGTCAAATGCAAACTGACGTTACAAACTTAACCCGCTACACCTACAGACTGCAAAAACGAAATGTCCTCGTTTTATTGCAACAATTTTGTTTATTAATTATTATGTTATTTGGCTTACTCACGTAATTATTTGACGAGGAATTCGACTAGTTTCAAGTCATGCTGGAGTAGCAGCGCGACAGTCGCCACGTCGCGGGTCGCGGAATGCTGCTCATGGATATAACCCTAGCATGGCTTGAAACTAGATCCTCGTCAAATAATTACGTGAGTATGCCGAAAATCATAATAATTAATTTAGTATGTCTTACGAAAGTTAGAACAATTTTGTTCATTCTGTTTTATGGCAAAAAAGTACTTTTATGCGCTGTTTAGGAAGCAAGTAAAGTTGATTTTTTAAGCTTTTATATCATATTATATTACCGTTTGATTGAGAGTATTTTGTGAACCGAAAAAGAAAATAAATAAGGCAAGGCTAATGACAGCAGTAAACTTCAGGCTATTTTAGATGTGATGAGGAGTAATGCAAACATTTTTTATTTAATTTCAAGACTCAGACATTTTTTATCTACCTTTTAATTCAATTGATTTGTTCAAAAAGCCGTGTATAATGTACACACGGCTACACATCGAGCTTTACATAAATCAGTATAAACTGAACGATAAATGTGCGGAAAGATGATGCGACGGGACACCAGGGTGAACTGGTTTTGTATAGATTGATGTGTGGCCGTGTGTACCTAAATACTTTTAGAAAATGAACGAACTAAATAATGAATTTCTTTCTCAATGATAAAGATCATTTTAAACGCATATACAAAAAAAGCCAAGTTAAAGCCAAGAGTACAATGGTGTTCTCTCACCCACCTTTATTATAGACCTTATTTTCAATGTTTAAAGACTACTTTTGCATGAAAAAATACGAACTTAGATACGTACTTCATCTGAGGAAAGTTTTAGCATGAAACATAGACTAATTAAACCAATTTAATATATCTAATACTTAACTAATAACCAAATATCTTACAAGTCCACATAAATGACGATGAATTAATAATATTTACTCTATTATGACCAATTTCAAAACTCTCTAGATTAAACTAAAATATAGTAATACCACATTAACTTGTGAGTAAGTTCATGAGGTATTAATCTCTATTGCTATATGCATACAGTAGAAAACAGATTGGTAATCTGTAATTACATTCATCTGGCAGATAGTGACTATCAAGAGGTTCTAAAACTGGTCTCAATAATTTTATTACACTAATAGGTACAATTTATAAACCGCGTATACGTTTTTTTTACAATTTTTTGTTTGTTTCCAATGTATGTGTATCATGTGTACTAGTCTACAAAACGGCTGAACTGATTAAGATGCTGTTTGGTAAATTGATAGATTAAGACTTGGGCTACTTCTAATCTCAAAATTAACGTTAACACTGGTATTAAATAAAATAATCATTTTTAAATAAAACAACAAATCAATGTATAATAACATAAAATTAAACTATAATAAATTAAATATGTATAAGTAGATCCTAAATGTGAGAGTAACCGTTTCTTTAAATCAATAAATCATTCGTACGTAATAACTTGAAAGACATACGCGCGCACTGCACATGATTATGAATTCTAAGTTGGTTTTGAAATCAGTTGAGCATCCTCGAAAAGCTTACGTGGCGATATATTTGCATTAAATTTAATTCACGGTAGTTATTATGCAAAAATAGCAAATGGCGCTAACAAGGATATCCGTAAAAACAGACTAAACAGAAAAATAACCAAATAAATGATACACAAACATTGGACCCAGAATTTTAATTCATTTTTTAATTACGTACTTAATCTATTTATTCTAAGTATTTATACCTCAGTAGTAAACAGCAATAAGTCACATTTTATTCAGTAAAATAAATTAACACTAGTCTGTGGGCGCTTCGATAAATAATTATTTATATAACCATTTATATTGATATCCTGACACTTTAACCACTATAATCAAATTTCAGGTTACTATCATAATCGCCTCTAAACGCTAGTACAAAAGATTTAAATTCGTATGTACAGTCGTGTAATATACGCCTTTTTTCTAAAGCGTAATACCTATATCTTTGAGAAAACTTCAAATCGTGGTCATAATTACCTCCATGGAGATTGTTCACGATCCCCAATTCAAGGGGACGAATTATTTATTAAACGACTCGGTGCCTTTTTTCATCAGTCATTTATATGAAGTTAGTAGTCAGCCATTTTGTCAGTATCTCAATATAAATAATCAGATCAGCTTGTTTAAATACTGAAACACACGAAAGGCGCTTTACAAATAAATAATACGTTCAACAAGGTCACATACATACATTTTTATTTTCACTTTCATATAGTACAAAAATTACCAGTCTGACGTGTGCTGCAATCGTATCGCTGTCTCACTTGACAGTACAGTTCGTGCATACTTGTATCTCGCTCACACACTACTAACTTCAGTGTGGTTTGTATACAGAGTGCTTTTTGAGTGTGTCTTGTTCATTACCAAAATGTTTGTATATATTTTTTTAAATCTGTTTTCTTTTTCTAAGTTCACAGTTAGTAAATAAAGACTTTTAAACAATTGGAACAAAATAAATTGTGTAAATATACCCTAAAATATGCTAATGCGGGTGTAAAAATAAATAAAATAAAATCGTCGCGTCGTATCTACTTGTATAACAATATTGTTAAATAATTCATATTGATGATATACTTATTTAGAGAAAATAGAAATCAACGCGTTCTTTAATCAATCGTAATTCCAGAAAGGTCTTTACTGGTAATGCTCCTAATAAAGTCCATCTTTCCAGTATGAATATGCAATCATTTATTACGTACCAAGTTAATAAGTTTCTAGCTCAGTTACTCGCGAAAACTTGGCAGACATTTTAATCCTTTTATTTTTTCTGTCCACATATTTATCAAAATTCATACTAAAGAAAATTAATCTAGAACTATATCGGATAAAACGTGACTTACACATTGTTAGTAGTCCTAGTTATCTTCAACCAAATTTTATCCCAAGCACTTTGAGATAAGGTCTAGTAGGAAAACCAAACCAACATATTATTCAACTGTTATATTACATCTATCATTAAAAATCGCGAGCTTGATATTCATTTGGATAAACACGTTTATTTAGAACTCTATTAACATTTGTATAAGGCAGAGGATGGCAAATCACACAAACATTATCTTTACACACTGAGAATTTAACGAATTTGCGTCCAAAAGCATCATCACTTAAATATGAACAAACTGATCATATTTTAAATACAATATACACTATAATATTCACAGCGCGCACTTTATTCACTTTTTATATTGAGTCACTAGTTTGTGATTGGTCGGTCACTCGAGGACGATGACGTCACTGTTCAGTGATCATTTGGACGGGGATGTCAGACCAAGTGCGGCTGATAATAACCGCACCACATTCTTCTGCTCCGTCTTGTCGTTTTCTGAAAGAAAAAAATATAATCCATTATTCCCGACTGCAATATTTCAATAAGCATTGACAATTTTTCCAATTATCTACCAAAGGGCTAATTTCTTGCAACTTATTGAAAGTATGAAAGCCTCATATGGCAAAGTATTAGTGGGTTTTTAAAATTCTCAGTAGTAGCACAGAGTCTGGAATTGTGTCCTGTATATAGCAATGGGCTTACCCCCTATTACATGGGACTCATAACATAAATAGTGAAAAGTGGGTGTTACATTATTGTAAAGTGACATAATGATGCGACTGAGGAAGAGTAGAGGTACATACCATCATCACCAGTGACATGTTTCTCCAGGTTAAGTTTCTCCTGCGCGACCTGGTAGATTCCTTCCTCGATGGTGCCGCAGCTCAGAAGGCGGTATATCGTTACTGGACGTCTGACCCATCCTGTGACACCTGTAAATACAAAACACATGTATATTAGATTAGAGAACATTGTCATTAGGTAGGTCGGCAAACGAGCAAACGAATCACCTGATGCTTATCATCAGGCAATTATTAATTAATTGCATTTTGGGGGTAAGGAGCACGGATGGGGCTCTATAGTGCTGATGCCTATTTGGAGTCGCGGAGAACCTAACGGGTTACCGGGGCTCCGGCTCGAAGTACAAGAGTAGGAATGGGGTGGTTTTTAGTCAGTAAGAGTCTGACACTCCCTCCCGCTTCACCCAGGCAGGAGAAGTGATTCGACGATTTTCCCCCTTGAAAAAAAGGTACGGAGGATTAAACCTCCAGTTATCTCACTCACACACAAGCTAAACACAACTTGACCGTTGTGTCACGCCGGCAAGGCCGTGGTATCAATGATTTCAAGGTACCCATTCATGTCGAACAATCACTCTCCTTTTATTCTACGGTTTGCTTGTTCGATTCCTGTACAAATATGTTCCGAGATTCGGTGTGTTGAATGTGAAATTATGCATTTGGATTTTAAAAGCACATAATTATGAAAAAATATTAATTGAAGAAAACATTTCATTTTAAAATGTACCTTATTTAATGGTAATCTTGAAATATTATTTAAATAATAGCTGAAGAGTGAGTTTGTTTGCATGCACTAATCTCAGGAAGTACTGGTTCGATTTGAGAAATTCTTTTTGTGTTTGATAGTCCATTTTTCGAGGAAGGCTATATGATATAAAACATCACGCTACGATCAATAGGTGCCGATCAGAACAGGTCAAACCGCGCGGAAATAGCTAGTAGGGAATATATAATTTCAGTGCAATACTGACCTATCTTCAGCCTGTTTATCATTGTAAGGGTTAAAGTCTATATCGTGTATGATGACAGTATCTGCAGCAGTAAGGTTGATGCCCAGTCCGCCTGCCTTCGTGGACAGCAGGAACACGAAGATATCCTCGTTGTTATACTGGTCTATTAAGTCTTGTCTGGAATTGAGAAATTAAAATTACATACATAAAGCCAGTTTAAAAATGGGTGCAGTTGGTTAGGGGGTGCTCACCAATGTCGCAACGACTTTTAATTTTACCAGTAATGTAGTTCATAAAACCCAGATTAAATGGTTTCAATAGAATCTTAAATAAATCGCACCAAGTTTATAAAAAACATGCTTACCTGTCCGGAACAGCAGTGCTGCCATCTAGCCGCAGATACCGGTGCCTGCGTATAGTGAGGTACGGCTCGAGTATGTCGAGCATCATGGTGAACTGACTGAACACTAGCACGCGGTGCCCGCCCGCCTTCAGTCGAGGTAACATCTCGTCTAATTTTTGGAACTTGCCAGAGTCCAGGATTAAGTGCTCCGGCAGGGAGTATGATGATATACACTGGAATGGAGATAAAAATGAATTAGTATGGTGTGTAAAATAGATCCATTCTGAAGGAAATGAAACTGATTGGTGATCATCACGTGTTATGATTATAAAAGAACTCTGTCCATAAAAAACATTGCATGCTCACAATAACTAATAGTTTAAACATATAGAGAGACTATAGAATACGTCTGTAGGCTAAAGAATAGTCTCTATTTACAAAAATGAATATTACTTATCATTAGTTATTATCTATAATTTGGCAACAAAACATACCTATTTCCATAAAAAAGTCAATTCCGAATACTAATGGTAGATAACAAAAAATCTTACGCTATACTGCAGAGTAAGTTGATGGATCTGGAAGTCGGACATGCAGAGCAGGTCCTCCCAGGCGTACTGCTCGTTGTTCTCCTTGTAGTGCGGGTCCCGCGCGAGGCGGGCGGCCAGGGGGCGCAGCGCGCCGTCCGCGTAGTGGTACCGCAGCAGCAGCGGGTGGTTGGCCAGCTTGCGCATGTCCATCATCATCGACATGCCGCTCTGCTCCGTGGTCGCGTGGATCTGTGGGGATGGAATGGTACAACACTGAATTTGATGTTACAGCGACTGTTAATGAAAAATTTGAATTTGAGGATTCTAAAAGCACTGACCAAACTCATGGTAAATATATTTCTGCGGAAATAGTGACAGAAGGTTAAGTTTTAGTCCATCAAGTGCATATTTCATATTGTGTACATTACGGGACTTTCGACAATATATTGATTTGAAATATCGTATGAAAACACGTTTCAGCACATTTTAGACCCAAAGGTATCGTAGGCAAAAATCATTTAATACATTGTACTAAGAGATTTACTGTTAATTCAACAAACCTCATGAGCAGCGTGCGCGGTCGCGGCAACGTCGCGCAGCTCACGCTGCTCATGAGGAAGAACCCCTCTCTGGTTCGAAACTAGTAGAGCTTTTCTCATTATATTCACGTGAGTAAACCGCGATTTTACTTAATTTAGTATGTCTCACAATAGTTATTATAAAAACAAATACAACAATCTCACTCACCGATCCATCCTTAGCAGAGAAACTAGCAATAAGGTTCTTGTACAGTATTCCCTGCCTCTCTGACATGGGACAGAGCTCCCTGTGGTTGGTCTTCTTGGGCAGATCCTGTAGAACATCTCTCTTCAGCCGACGGAGTACGAACGGCTTCATGATACGTTTAGCCTGAGTTATCTGGCTCTGTTCGAAGGGCAGATCATCATCTTCTTGCTTCCCTTCTGCCTTCTTCGTTGTTTTTGATTTCTGAAAATAATATTAACATTTTAGTAGTACAGTTTAACTCGTCGAGTACCGTATTTAAAGACACAATTAAAGAACAATATGTTGCGGTCACCGGTGACCGCTCGGTGTTTGACAGTTTAATGTCAACACTAGGATTTACTCTTGGGTGCATTTAACACATATTATATATGCATAAAAAACTACACTTTGTTGATCACACAAAGATAGTCTATGCAGGGATTGACCCGTGACACGTTGCGCAGTAGTCGGTTGCCCATCGAATGTGCTAACATTGACAATATTCTCGATTTAGGAGAGCTCCTTTACTCCATATCTAATTGACCAACAGATTTTTCATGTGCGAGTCAATTTGTGAAAGGAATTACATATCCTTACTAATTTTATAAATCGGAAAGTGAGTTTGTTTGTTCCGCTTTCACGCTGTAACTACTAAACCGATTGCTTTGAATTTTTGCAGACGTAAAGTTAGAAGTCCGGATTAAATAATGAGAGTTCTTTTTATCCCGGAAAAATTTGATATTACCGAAGGAAAACAAAAGTATTGGTATAGACGCGCTGTGTATATGGGTATATGTCACAAAGGCTACTCTTTATCTTTTTGTGACGCGAGCGAAGCCGCGGGTAAAAGCTAGTATACAATATAGGAGAAACACCTAGATTAAGACTTAATTAAGCCTTTGACTGTCGACAGACACCAGTCACCGGTGACCTAAACGGTGGTTATCAATCGGTAGCCATATTTTTATATATATATTATTATATTTGATGGGCCGACATTTGACCACTATCTGGCCTGGTGGTAAGCGATGATGCGCTCTACGATGGAGCACGAGCAGAGTAAGTATATCATCATAGACTTACAGCAGTCTTCTGGAACAAGCTCTTTAGATCATCGGTCTTCCCGGAGAACATGTGTGGCATGACGAAGCACAGCAAAGACATTAGCTCCAACAAGTTGTTCTGCAGCGGAGTGCCTGTTAGCAGGAGGCGGTGCTTCGACTGGAATGGAAATAACACTATTAATTACTGTATAATGTTCATAAGGCAATCGAATTCTAGATAAAACTAAATGAAACCAACCAAACCAAAGGAGTATGGAAATGTGCCCGGTGTATGGCAATAAGCTCACACCCTATTACATGGGACTCATAACATAAATAGTGAAAAGTGGGTGTTACATACAGTGGCATTAAGTGCTGTAATGTGCACCTCTGGTCCTCTGCCTACCCCTTCGGGAATAAAAGGCATGATGTTATGTAAATGAAACCGAGGCATGTAAACAAATGTTTTAAATATTCTTATAAAATTAAACTAATTAGATAATTAAATTATTATGTTTGCTATTGCTAGAGGCTCATATCCATGAGCAGCATTTCGCGACATGGCTTGAAACTAGTCGAGTTCTTCGTCAATTTATTACGTGAGTAAGCCGAAAACATAATAATTTAATTAGATAATTGAATAAAGGTCGACTTTAACCTATTACGCTGAAATACTCAGTCGCACTGAAATATAGTTTACTACAAATTCTTTGTAAAACGACAGACATGGCACGATATTTAAATACAACTTAAAATTGAGTAGCCTTTCTGAAATCGGGCGTTAATCTGAAAATAACTGACAAAAGTTTAAAATGCTTCATCAACAGACTACAGCTATCTAAAGCTGGACTATGATCCTCCTTCAGAAAGTAGTTTAAAAATTTAGTTTTATTAGAGAGCACTACTGCTTGCCATACCATCTTACCCATGAGAAGAGTAAGTAATCACGATACAGCTATCTATATATTCTAATTCTAAATCTATATAAATAAAAATGAATTTCCGTTTCGTTAGTCCCGCTAAAACTCGAGAACGACTGAACCGATTTGGTTAATTTTGATTTTGAAATGTTTGTGTAACTCCAGGGAAGGTTTAAAAGGTGAGAAAAAAAATTTGAGGTGGTATAAAGTTTCCTGGGTCAGTTAGTTAGTATATAAATTATAAACTTGCCTTGATTTTAAGCAAATTGTCGTATCGCTGCGTGGACATGTTCTTGAGCATGTGCGCCTCGTCGTAGATGACGTAGTGCATCGGTGTGATTCGGAACATTTTGCGCTCCTCCGGGCAACTGTTCACCATTGTGTACCTGGAAAAACATCGTACATTATTCAGTCATTAAAGTGTAATCTTAGATTGAAAGAAAATATGAGCGATCCACGCTGTTGATGACTATGAACCTCCGTCGTGGCTTGAATTTAGTTGAGGTACCTTGTCGAACAATTGAATAGAAAAAAGGTAAAACTTACTAAAGTAATTATTTGTTATCAGATTATTAAGAACATTAATAACGAGGGTAACTTGAAGTTAGAAGCATTTGTCAAAATAATAATTTGAGTTCGGGCTATGGGATGCCATAGTAATGCAGTATCAAGTTCTACTGAAAGAGACTGATTCTTCTGTGAGTGTGTATGCCACTGAACTTCTCTCAAACGACTGGACCGATTTTGATGAATTTTTTTGTGTGTGTTCAAGGGGATCTGGGAATGGTTTAGATTCACAAATCACCCCGGCAGATGGCGCTGCAGTCGATGTTTAGGTTATTTATCCTAAACAGCTGAACTAATTTGAATGAATTTTTGTTTATACATTCAAGTGGATATGCAGGACAACGTCTGTAGGGTCCGTTAGTAACAATGTAAAACGTACGTGGTAAGTACAATATCGACGTCGTCGAGTCCCCTGGCGTACTGTATGCGCAGTTGGCGCCTGTCCTCCGGGTGTCCGTAGTACTTGCTGACTCGCAGCGCCGGGCACCAGCGCGCCAGCTCACTGCTCCAGTTGTCTACAACAAGCACATGGACCTTCGTTACCTTTGGTCATGTTACAAGCAAATAAAATGAGCAACTTGTTATTAATGTTGTTTAAAAGAGAAGTCATATTTCCCATAAGTATTTACCAACACCAAGGCAGGTAAGTTTTAAGTGGTACATACAAAACGACTGAACACATAACATAACATAACATAACATCACGCCTTTTATTCCCGAAGGGGTAGGCAGAGGTGCACATTATGTACAATGTAACATTCACTTTTCACAATTTATGTTATAGTCCCATATAATAGGGGGTGAGCCTATTGCCATATACCGGGCACAATTCCAGACTCCGTGCTAATACTGGGAATTTTTTAAAACTCAGTAATACTTTGCCCGACCTGGGAATCGAGGCAGTCCTGAACACATTTGAATAAAATTTGGTACAAACTGATAGATACATATCACATTCTGAAATAATATGTATAAAGGTTACTTTCCGAATAGCTGCTGGGCAGAAACTACTTTGATTTAGATTTACATACAGATACACACAAACAAAAAAGAGTATTAATAAGCATGACTACTCACCAAGTGTAGAAGCAGGTACAACAATCAAATGTGTTCCCCTAGCCTGGCCGGTTTCCTTCAGATGTGCCAGGAACGCTATCACCTGGACAGTCTTCCCCAGCCCCATCTCATCAGCAAGGATACCTGAGACTCCTTGCTTATGGAGCACTGCAAGCCAGTTCAGGCCTACTAACTGGTATGGTGCGAGTTTCAGGCTGAAAGGATTTTGAGTTATATTATAAGTTAGAGTATTTTTATTTGTCAATAGGGTATAACATAACATTACGCCTTTTTATCCCGAAGGGGTAGGCAGAGGTGCACATTACGGCACTTAATGCCACTGTACAATGTAACACCCACTTTTCACTATTTATGTTATGAGTCCCATGTAATAGGGGGTGAGCCTATTGCCATATACCGGGCACATTTCCAGACTCCGTGCCACTACTGAGATTTTTTAAAACCCAGTAATACTTTGCCCGACCCGGGAATCGAACTCGAGAACCCTTGCCCGGCAGTCGCACTATAGGGTATATGCCTAATTTTTATTTCAATATCTGTTTGGTAGATTATTTTAAAACATTAGACACATAATTTTTATTTTCTTACAGAAACGAATACTTTGACGATATATTGATTTGCAATATCGTAACTAATATGTACATTTTATACGTAGAAATGATGTTTTAGCCCCCACTCTGAGCTTTGATTCGTTTTATCTAAGTATTATTTTATAATACGACAAAATAAGAAAATACGTGTGTAATATTTTTTAATTACCTAACTGACGGACTAATTAGATTTTTAATTTTCATACCCCGTCATCATCCCTAATGTTTAAAAATAGGTCTTCAGTTCAATGTCGGAGCCAGAGACAATATTAGTAGAATTTGGTCATGCTTCAATTAGAATTTGTCAGACATAATGAAACATTTGTATCACTTTTTTAATATGAACTAAGTACTCTAATTATGAGTTCTGATGGAATCTAAACTTGTGCACCATGTTTGGCAACTAAGATAGTGATAAAATGGAACTAAAAAACATCAAACCTAAGTCGAAATACCATAGTTAGTCCATCAATCTCTCCACCAGTGAAGCTAATTAATTAATCAATCCAAAGTGTAGATTAGTATGGAGAAGAATGAGGCAGAAACGCCATCGTTACTTTTCAAGTTGATAATATAGTGCACCTTTCATGCAAAATGGCGGGTTGTTTGAGCCGGCCCGCGCCCGCCGCCACCGCAGACTCCAACTGCTGCGCGAGGACGATGCACTTCTTCATCAGCCGCTGGATATTATTCCTCGTCGTCAACAGTTCTTGCGTGGAATTCAGAAGATCTGTACTTAACGTCTTATTGCTGTTGAACTTTTCTACCTGTAAAGTGATAGTTAAATTCTTAGTATGTTGAACTGGACAGGGAAAGGAGTGAAGTTTATATAAGTTTACAATTTATGTAGGTATCTTTAAGAGTATGTGAATCATTCCTTTGTGATGGTATTCTGTACCAGACAACCACAAGCAATTTCTTAGCAATTTCTCTTGTCCCACAATCTACTTTACGAAACAATTTCAATCACTCATGGAAAAGTGACTCAAAGACGGGAGAAGGTAACTTACCATATCCAACCAGCCCTTGAAAGGTCTCAAAGACATGATGGCTTCTGCCTTCTTCTGTGAGCATCCACTGAGTAGGGACAACTCATTCATATTACTGTTGTTGAGGAACTCAAACACTTTCTTCTTATCTCCTATAAGATCATCTGTGACCTCATTGTCAGAATCCTCACTGTGAAATAAAGATAGATAATATTATTTAGGGCCCATTTTTCCAACGCCAGATAAACTTTAACTAAGGAATAACATTGAATATTTGACAATTCTTCCATACTAAAAACTGTCCAAAGTCAATTTTATCAAATTACTGATGATAGAAAAATCGGCCCTTATTTATGATGGATTCAGATAAAATTTTATGCTATTGTAAAAATCACTATGCAGCTTTTTAGGAACACAATTGAGGATTTTACAGGATACATAAATCTAATAGTGTCTGAGACTTAAGGAAATTCTGTACCAGAACTAAAACATAAAATGACTTAAATAACTAGTTACACATACCTGTCATAAACTCTATCATCTTTTCCTTTTTTGACGCCATAATCATCATCTTCGCTGCCGCTACTACCTCCCCTTTCCCTTCCACCCTTGGATGCCAAGGGTTTCCTCACGACCACGTTCATCTTAGGTCCACTAGTCACTCTGACAATCCCCATATTAGTATAAGTTCTAGGGGCACTTTGTCCTGATACACTCGGCTTGGAACCGAAAAATGTGGAAGTAGATCCTCTGTCGTTGCTCTCAGGGTCATGCATCAGCAACTCATCCCTAGCACGTTCCTCACTCCAGCCATGTTTTATTAGTGTGTTTTTGACAAACTGTAAAATACAAGGACTTGGTCAGACAGATGCATTGTTGTATGTGGTAGTTTTGTGAAAGGTCAAAGAATGAATAGCACTAAAACATATAGTACAGATTATTTCACAAAATGGTATACTAAACATAACTTACAATTGGCGATATATCCGGGAACATTTCAAGCATATTTCTAAATCTCCTTTCTTTGACTGCAGTTGTCAGTTCCACAGCAACGGCAGGTTTCTTAGCGGGACTTGCTGCATCATCAGAATCAGAGTCTTGCAACCGTATCCGCTTATAAACCACTGGTACATTCCTAACTACGACTGTGTTTGGCGCAGCCATCCTAATTTTATTGTTGTGCATCATTTCTGTAAAGAGAAACACACTAAATAAAAAACTGCAACACAAATCATTTTCCTATAGTACAAAAACAACACTTTTCATGCTGAATCAGGTTACAACATGAAATGTATCAATTTCTCTTATCTTGCAAGTTGTAACAAGTTTTGTAAGCAGTGAATAAAACTGTGCCTACAACCTAGGTCTTAAAATATGGTTTATAGTCTTAGAAGTAGATTCTTTAAGTGTATTGTTTACAACATTTCTTTAAACCATTGTCTTCACAAATATACACAAGTATCGCAATTGCAAGAGTGTACAACAGATATAGTGAGAAGTTTACTAAATTATGAATACTCTCACAATAACAAAGGTTATGTTTTATCGCTATACCTTGTTCTAAACTTATTGCTAAATGGGAATTTGATGTTGGTCAGCAGTTAGTCTTATTGTTACTATGAATTGTATTCTACTTAGCCTATAATAAAGTTGGAAGGTGATATAAAGAGTTATAAGTATTGATTCTCTACCATTAAACAATATGTTTCAAGATAAGTTTGGACTTGTTAGACAAGATGATACTAACTACTGGTAGTATGTAGCTTATTTGTAGGTAATTTTAATCATTGATAATTATTATAAATAGTATCTAAACAAAAATCATTGATAAGCAAAAATAAACCTAATCTATATTGCATTCAATTTACATCACATTTTCTACTACATCTGTCTATCTTATTACATTTAATGTTCATTATTTTCCTTTCTGACCATATCCTAGGTTACTTAGGATTGGCACAAAAATTTTTTTCCTACCTGACACCATTTCCAACTTATTACATTCATTATCATAACCTAGAAGTCAATTTTTCCAAACAACAAATGTAAGACTTAATTGTGACATATTACCTTGTTGCATAACAATAAATCCAAAAAAATATGAACATTTTAAAGACTATCTTAATGTTTATTACCAAATAACAACAAAGCAACCAACTACTTAAATGATTAAGAATTATGAACCTCAACTTTACTGTAGCTTCTAAAATATGGAAAGGTTAATGTAAGAACAAGAACCTATGTTGAATTTCAAGCTTAGATAATTGCAGTCAAATAATTTATTTAAAGTTTTAAAAACACTTTAAAAATCAAACAAACAATTATGAATGAAAAAATATGTATTGATTTTTTTTTAATCACACAAAATGTGGACTGTAGTTAAAAATATGGCATCCAGTCATTTACATAGCTAACAGTTTATATTTACAGGCTTATTTCAGGGTGTCTAGCAGTAGACATGATAATAAATGAATTGATAAAAATAGTTTGATTTGTTATGAATAAGTGTTTGTTAATATAATCATGAGGCTCAAACTGAAAATGAAGGTTGTCTGCACCTCTTTCCTCTTTTGTTGAAAAAGCTTAGTTTTTAGACTTAATTCCTAAGTCATTTTGTACTGAATAATACAAGATGTTTTTGTTGTTTATAGTTTTTTTTTACCATTGAGCAAAAATTGTAAATCTTAACATTAGAGCTAACAAATTTTTTGAATAACAAAATATTGTAAATAAAGAAGATCACCAGTACATACACATCGAATATTACCGCAGATTTTTTTTTCGTAGTTTGTTACATTGTTATTTACCCCATATGACCGGTAAATTAAATTACACTTAGAAAACACGGGTCAGTGAACGTGGTGATTTTAATTCCTCGTGGTGAAGATACAAGCACGTGCTATTTTAATAATGACCTTGTCCTTAGCATTGTTAAACCTATTTACAAGTACTTACGAGAGCCTGAAGGAGATGAGGTAACCGTAACTGGGCTGCTGGGTTCACCAGGACCGTTTGGTTTCCTCTGGAACCTATATTGTCTCAAAAAACTTAACACACTCGGACTTGTACCATTAGACATTGTCACACTTAATAAACCAGTTAGTCAGCACTTTTCAGAAAAAAAACTTTAAAGTTCTTTGATAAAAACGTAATAAAGATTTACGAAAAAATTATCAAACCACAGAAGCACGACAAGAAGACAACACTACGGCCATTTTTGTCCGCGAGACTGCCAGACTGCGAATGAATGAGAGTTCCATGAGCCAATGGCAACACATGTCATAGGTTGTCAAAATAAGTATTAACCAATTACAGCTGCGTTTGAATAGTTTTAACTAATGGCAGTATTTTCTAATTTTTAATGACGTTATCGAACAATAAGAAAAAATTGTGGCTATAGTAAAAAATATACACACACAAAATTCGGTTTTTCTTTTTTTTATTTAAAAAAACAAGAAATAACGAGAATCTGCCGCTCCATACAAAAAGCAAAAATAGGCAAGCCAGTTTTTTTACAATAGAAATAAAAAAAATCTTTTTTATTTAAGTTAATTTTAATTTTTTAAGTTTTGTATTATGTATAATTAAATTTTTCGTTATTCTGTATATTTACAAAATAAAGTGCAGAGCTGTCGAGCATGAAATGTTATTGCTATCTGGTACAATGCCCGGTCAATGATATTAGATTTACCTTCTATTATTTAATTACTTACCCCTACAGCCCGCTGGAGAGCCGCGGTGGACTTGAGTTGCTGGGGCTCCGACTCTGAGGGCAGGAGTAGGAACGGGTGGTTTTTAGTCAATAAGAGTCACCCACGTGGGAGAAGACATGTGATGATTTTCCCCCCTTAAAAATACTTATATGGTTATATGCTATAGTAATATGTATACCATACGCTATAGTTTGTATTGTAGTATTGTATCATGAAACTTATTATTTCCTTCATAGAAATCATCTTTCTTACCATGTACTATTTGATTTGTATTAGACAAAGTTTGTCTTATTATCATATTTGGCAGTATAGGTACTATATAGCTACATATAGCTAGGCTGTTTTATCACTTCATGAATGCTTTTCAAAAGCAGAAAATAATAATAATAAAATAATAATAAATGACCTATCCGTTTACGTTAGTCTTAATCACTAAAGGGGAGGCTTCGGAACACTTAGGTATCCAACGTGACATTTTTCACTAGTTATGCATTTTAGTCTCATAAGAATAAGAAATAAGAAAATATGTAACTACAAAAGTGTCCGGTTTTATATTTAGTACCGGTTATTAAGTTACCATTTAAATTACGTCCCTGAAATTCACTGCATGCCACACTGTTTCTGGTTTCTGTCAGATTAATAGGTGCGGCCATGTTGATCTGTAGTGAATAAAACTGAGTTAATTTTCTTTTAGGGAAATAAAATTGACACAATATGCCCAAATGCGACCTCAAAACGAGATACATCCCAGCGACGTTCGCGTGGACTCTATTGTTGGGCACAACATCCCTGTTTTTTTATTTCCCGTAAGTATACAATGTCGTCGATCGTCTGTAAATTCTCATTTTCGGTTTGACAACTTTCACATGAGATTGTTGAATTGTTTCTATTAATATCTTGGGGTTGTGGACTTGCCCTGTGTGACTGTGTGTGGATTATACCTTTGATATGCCTGTGGCGCAAACGGTAAGAGCATTTTGATGAGATCCTTGGAGTTAGTGTAGGAGCCATGTTCCATGTAATTGTATGCCATATTTACATTAATAGAGTATTAATGTATTAATTAGTGTGTTTCTTGAAGTGAGTAAGCATCGTTGTGTAGTCGTGTCAATGGACAGGTACTTCCTGTGTGGTATCCAAATCTGTATAAACAAAAGATGTCTCATGGAGTACTGGGAATGAGTCAATCAACCTCAAAGTACAATGTTACAGCCTATTTATTTGTTACAAGTTATCCTCTAAATGTTTTTGTGTTGTTTACATAGATATTTAAATTATAACACAGTTATATGAGACATGTTGTAACAAGTTATTCCGGTGTTATCTGTCTGTAAATATTAGATGATGATTACATTAATAAATTAATGTCAACTCTCTAGTGCTCTGTGTTTAGTATTCAATATTACTAGATGGAGATTTGGTTAATTTTGAATTTGTCCTGAAAACCTACTATTATTAAAAGTTTGTTTGTTTAATTATATCCTGTGACCTTAAATATATAAATTTTGCCGTAGATAATATAATCTAAAATCTTCCTTATCATAATATTTACAACCGTTTCCAGTGAATTCAAATCACTAAATAAGAACAGCAATCCTAAAACCAATTATTTTCCAATAAGAATCCACTTCTAGCTATGTAAAATTAAACAGAAAAGTGGTTATCAATTAGATTTATTTGTAAACATTTCCATCTGGTGTGTGGTACTGACACAATTTGGAGCAAACCAAACTAAACATGTCTGTGGTGTGGTTGGCACGGTTAAAAACCAGATACCTAATAGTGTGAGCTAATTATAGCCAGTGTTAATTAATATCAATGTGTATCATATTCTTTCAATACGAGTTTGAATTTTATGCTTTCGGAATTAAGGATTGAATTTCATGTTTTCAGCTGTTCCTTGGGCTTAATATTTGTGTCATAATTTATTGCTATCCTCTATTCTTTTATACAGATTCAATATAATTCCATAACTTTTCTTATAAGAAAGTATCTTATCAGATAACCCCTTTCATCATTTCCCAAGTGTATGAACCAAAAAGATTTTAGTTTATATTTGTCAACTTCTCTTAAACTTTATTTTTGTACATATTTCAGTACTTTTCCAAACACATTGTGGTCCTAAACATCAAGTTATCATATTTTTACTCTATTTAATGTCTCCATGTCCTTAAAAAGTAAAAAACAAAACATTTCATTCATTATTATATCATGATGAACTTTATCATATGACTGACCTATACATAAAACTGGTAATACCTGTAAATTACTAATTTGCACTGTCCGTGACTCGATTTCTTTACGTAACTACAAAAAACTGGGTTAAGTTTACACTAAATGCAGCGTAACATAGTGAATTCATTAACCAGTCGTAGTAAATGTTTGATGTTTCATTAGTTACTTTGAGACTGTTGTAATATCAACCTGTTTTGTTTGACGGCAGCCGGTAGAAGAAAGATATATTCGTAAATTGTTTTTTAAATGTAATATGGTGTTTTGCAACTAACAATCTATACATATATTTATTTCATCTTTCCAATTAATCCTTCTGTAATAATTAAGTTAACTTGCAATTACATATTTTATTACATTTTCTAAACCACTATAAACACTACATGGATGTAGAATAGCTGTTTCAACCTATATTTCTTGCTTGATTGCATTTGTAGATTCTACTATTCTACTTCCTTTAGCATAAACTTCTTTAAATCATTTTAAAGTTGAATTGAATATCTTATTAAAGATATAGTCTCATTGAAACAATAGCTTGCATGATTCTTTAACTTTTAATTGCAATTTTCCCAATTTTTAGGCTGTACCCTGTTTCAATTTAAAATAAATTCAATCAACAAAAAGTTGGTGTTACATTAATTATGCAGCCAAGTAGCCAGTAAGAGCAATATACATACTTTAAAAGTTGTGATTTGTTTGTTTCAAAGTAACTATATTTATGTGCAGTTAATATAGAGATTCTCAGTACAAATGGTGAGATTTCAGATATGGTCTAATAACTTTCACACCGCTTGTAGTTTCCACTTAAGTGTATTAATATTTCTATGTATGGAGTTAATGCTTTATCTCTAATGAAGTAGTTTTGTTGGTCCAAGTCCCCAGATAGTTAACGAAAATCTTAATGAATGTAAAGGTGTTAATTTTTACAATTGTTCCTCTTATCATCTTGTTATTGTTGTCTCTTGTCATAAACCATTGTTTTTGTTTCTACTTAGCGTCTTTATTCCTATAAAATACTTATTTATCATATCTTAAATCCAACTAGTATCATTGTAATATTGTCAGTTTGCACAAAACATAAACATATTATACATCTTCCCCAAGGATCACCCTCCCTGTTGTTGAAAACTGTATGACAATCAGACTAGCACATTTCGAGTTTATCGCGAACAGACAGACAGATGTGCCGAGGGACTTTGTTTTATAATATGTAGTAATAATCTTTAACATTTCGCTGATTAATTAATAATTTCATTAATATTTCCTTTCAGTTACTATCTAACTACATTTTATAGTCAACTATAAATAATGTTATAACTAAGTAATAATGGTATATTGTTATAGCGGCCTTGTGTCTTTACGTTATTACTTCGCGGGACATTAAAAAGATACTTGATTCTCTTTGGATCTAATGAAGAACTATCTAACACAAAATTCCGACTTCCGATTTCCATATCTGGTAAAATATTAGATTAAATAACTTCGCGGGAATTCTAAATGTATCTATCTTATATCTATATAAATAAAAATATATAAATAAAAATGAATTGCCGTTCGTTAGTCTGAGTCAAAACATGAGAACGGCTGGACCGATTTGGCTAATTTCGGTATTGAAATGTTCGTGGAAATCAAGGGAAGGTTTAAAGTGTCAAAAAATTTTTTTAGGATATTAAGTTTGCCGGGTCATGTGTTCTTAAATGAATAATTAAATGAAATAATGAATTTGTTTTTGCAAATAGGTTTTGACTGCTTTTACATGTCAAATTTAATAAAATCTAGATTAGGCTGGCAAAAAAATCAAAGAAAGGCAAAAAGGGTCGAGGTCAGATAATTCACAAATACATATTAAGCGCCTCTGAAATACAGTATTTAAAAGACCCAGTTATTGTAAAACTCTTGTTATGTAGTTTAATAGTACAAGAAATATTATGGTAATTTAGACACACCTATATTCAGAAGCCAAGTCAAGTAGAAATAATTTATACATTGCATAAAAAACGTAATAACTATGTATTAAAGTAACTCTTAAAACAGTCTTAAAGCTATGGCGACAAGGTTCTAATTTCATTAACAGAATACATAATAAATATACAATTTTAATTTATATCCTCCTATTAATTAGTTGAAAATTGATATGTTGTCGCTACATGTATGAATAATACGTCTACAACTGGTGTAATGTTCATTGAATCAATTTTATGTTAAATTATGATTTATTTCCTCATGACAATCTATTGGTTTTTATATTGTAAACTGTGAGAAACATTTGTCAAAGTAATTTTGTAGATTTGTTACGGAAAGACAGGCTTGTCTTTTTTCCATAATCGGTGTCGTTCGATCTCCATCCAGTCTGGGTTCAGAGGCCTTAGTACGCCGTCTCGTTTCGATTACTTTAAACGAAAAAGAAACTCGTACTAAGCCCTGGAGGTTCTTAGTTTAATCTGTATGTATGTATGTTTGTGCGCGCTTACCCCGCAATTGACTGAACCGAATTTCATAAAAGTGTTTGGTACTCTTTAGAGGAGGTTTTAGTACATTAATTAACCGACTTCAAAAAAAGAGGTTGAAGTCGGTGTTTTTAAACGTAGTTTATAAAAGAATGATTGATATTAGTTCTATTGAATTTGTGAAAAAACCAAGAATCAACCTGGTTTTGTATTAAGACCGTTTCTTAAATTCGACCGTAATGTACCTACTTAAAGCTGTCGAGATTTTAAAAATAATCTCCAGACTACAAACCTACAACAGAAAACCTCTTATCTCCTCTTTAACAAAAGTATCAGTTGGTTTTAACTCCAAAACAACTAAACCGACTTTGATTAATCTAGTACCTAGAAACAGACATCTTTAATACATAAGTAGAACATTTATAAAAGAAATAGGGTATAGAATTGATTACCAAAATCTGTATAGATGAAAGTAAATAGGATCAAAATCTGTCCGTCATCACTTCATCAGTATCTTTGCTCTCTTTATCCGTCGTAAGTGGGAAATCTTATAACTCAATACAATATGCCACGCGCCTACTTAAGATGATTGTATTGCTTACATTCTTTTATCTTTACTTAAGCTTTAACTGTAGCTGTTGCCCGCGACTTCGACCGCGTAGAATATGAATTTTAGGACATAACGTATATTTTTTTCAATATTTTCCAAAATTAAAGTAGCCTATGTTACTCCTTAGTACATCAGCTAACTGCCAATAAAAGTTCCGTCAAAATCGGTTTAGCCATTCCAGAGATTAGCCATTACAAACAGACCGACGGACAGACAAACAAAAATTGTAAAAAATGTTATTTTGGTATGTGTATCGTATGTATGTAGTAAAAAGCGGTTATTTTAATATTACAGACAGATATCCTAATTATATTTATCTGTATAGATCTTATAGCTGAAGAGTTTATGTTTGGACATGCGAATCTCTTAAATAAGCAGTCGTATGTGAAAAGAATCTTGAGTTGGTTAGATAACTATAGGACGTATTGTTTTTGATATTTATTGCGTCGTGTTTCGCTATACGAGTGATGTTACCAGAGCTCTCTTCTTAAATGTCATTCACGCATTTTTTATGGGTTATATATGACCGGTAAACGAGCAGACGTATCACCTGATGGTGAGCAATCGGCGCCGCCCATGGACACCTGAAACACCAGAGGCGTTACAAATGCATTACCGGCCTTTCGGGAAATGGGGATTTGAGGATTGTGGGGGATTCGTAGTTCGTACTAGGGTATCTATGGACGGCACTGATCGCTTACCATCAGGTGGTCCGTCTGTCCATTTGCTATTTATCACATACATCGTTGTCCTATTATAGTGTTCCTATATTGTGCTCCATCGTCGGCCACATCATCGCTTACCATCAGGCGAGATGGTGGTCAAACGTCGACCTATAAAGTGTAAAAAAAAAACTTTTCAGTCCTACTAAACTATGGACCTCGTCTACATAAGAAGGTTTTTCATAATCTTATCATGACGGAGATCGCAGTATAAAAGGTTCAGGTTTAGCACAGAGCGCTGTTGCTTGGTCCTCGTCAAATGTGTTGTCCCTTGCTCTGCCCTTACGACGAAGAGAAGAAGGGTAATTTCTGCCATTGACACGTGTCTTATTTTCTTACCCCATATATAATCTATTTGGTTCAGCTATTGAGATTGGTTACACAGCGTTGTTCAGATTCTGATTCATCAAACAAATATTTGTATAAGCACTATAGTTTGAGATAGTTCTTCCAGGTTTAGCCGTCTGTGTATAGGTTAACGTTCTAATAATGCAGGTGCAAGTTCTTATATATGAGGCGTCGTGACCTTTAAAGACGTCTTCCACACGTTTTTTTTAATTCAGTGTATGACCTTATGTTGGATATAAAGCCTATATTTCATGTATAATAAGGTCTCTATGGTCCTTAGAGTCTTAAAAAGTCGCGGAGAACTTAACGGGTTACCGGGCTCCGGCTCGACGTGCAGGAGAAGTAACGGGGTGGTTTTTAGTCAGTAAGAGTCTGACACTGATTTTCCCCCCTTAAAAAAGTGTCTTAAAAAGCTTGCTTAAATACCCCAAAGATTAACAATTACTTTAAATACTTTAAAATGTTTCTTCGATAGTCTTTAACTTTAATAACAAATCATTATTCTCTTGCGTTGTTAAACACCATAGTAACTGACTATCATCTGTATTTTATTGGATTGGTTAAAAGCAGTAACACGGCTCAGTTTCTTGAAACCAAATTTAGTGTATAAATCAGCAGCATTGTCAACTTTGGTTTGACGATAATGACACCGCAAATTTTTAGAGAATATTTTAAAAATAATCACCCTTTTTCACCGCAATTAGCACTCAAATCTATTTCTGTTTTTGTATATTCGCTTAGATAGAGTGATATAAACACCTAACTTGACATTATGAATTAAATTATCAACTACAATAAATGTTGATCTATTTATAGATAGCGTGACCTATAACATAAATGTCAGATTACTCTGCATGTAATAGGTCCCTAATTAATTACATAACACCATTCAGCTTTAAGAATAGATCTAAGTCTGGATCTTTATAATGGTTCAACCCTTAGAGAGTATATAGAAGTAATAGCTTTGCTCAAAATCGTCTATATAAGTAGCTTTAATCCATAGGGCTTAAGTGTTACGTGAACTTAATCTGGCTAGCGCCATCATCACAAACTTAGTTGTGAAAAGATCGATAGTTCAGTCTGGGCTAACATTATCGCGATATCGGTGATAATATTGGTTGAAAAGGCTCTTATTCGTTAGAATCGTCACTTTGTGAGCTCAAAATCCATAGCTCGCATTCTCGAACGCTGGAGTGCACTAAACCCCCATACGCACTGGCGGTTCATCGCACGCGTAGCCGGCAACGCGGTTATCCGGTTTTTTGATTCGTGATACAACCATTATAGCAACCATGTCAGGCGACACGAACCGCCTAGGACTAGGTGGTCAACCCTTAGCATATGGGGCTAAACCGCCAACCCCATTATCAATCCAGCATTTTGAACGTTAACTATAACCAGTTCAATGTTTTCAGAATTGTTACACTAATAATAACGGTTATTTTGTCTATTCCAGGTGTCAATATTACCTTCACAAGCACCCATGGGTTCCCGCGTGCCAAGGCTTCATAACGTTTTTTGTTTTGGCCAATTTTACCCTGGCCACTTTCATGGACCCGGGAGTTATACCAAAAGGTAATAATAAGAAATGTAAAATAAATACTCGTCGGGAATAATTCCATCCATTCGAGAAAACTGCTGTCCAGCTGAGTAAGTAAGGAAAGCAACTTTTAATTTTACCCAATACCCAATAGGGATGATGACAGGGTATGAAAATTAAAAGTCTTTAGTCCGCCAGTTAGGTAATGAAAAAATATAAGTCACGTATTTTTTTAATTTTGTCGTATAAGAAAACAATACTTAGATAAAACGTCATTTTAAAGTAAAACGTCATTTTAAAGTATAAATTGTACTCAAAAGTGACGTCGTGCAATATTTCAAATCAATTTATCTTCGAAACTATTTGTTTCCGTAAGAAAATAAAAAATACGTGTCGAATGATTTTAAATAATCTACCAGACGGGCATTAAAATAAAAATTAGTCATCTACCCTATTCTCTCTCTAAGAGACCTACGTATTAAACTACCTGTGTAAACATACATGTTTACTCCCCCCGTTACCATAGCAACGGAAAAACTACCCAATGCCTTTATTTACCCAGCACACGTTAGTTCATCGTTCAATATATTACTAATCGTGTCACAATACCTTATTGTATTATTTTTTCGAGTATATTTTTACGCTATCTTCATTTATGTAATTCATTAGTATAGGTACCGTGAATCGAGTTTATCTGATAATTCGATTTCAGTGCAATGAGTAATTTGATAACGTTGACCAACCCTCGTTTGTGATTTCAACTTTATTTTTATTGTTGTAATGGGATATGCTGGTAACTGGTATATTTATTGTATGATGATAATAAACTTGCTTTATTATATTACATACATGGACATAAAATAAGACAAAAAGTCAATTATTATAGATAAATTCTAGAAGGACATTATGTTTATTTTTTTAATAGATTACAGCTGGTTCATGTTGTATACTGTACTTGTATACTGTCTACATGTTGAAAAAACGCTCTTGAAACAACGACTGTGGCACCTGACTACTATAGACTTACACGCAGGATACACACACATTGACACTCAGGACTCAGGACATTAGTCACGTGACATAGCCCGTCATTACACTTCATACATTACGGTGTGGCGAATACACGCACACATAAATACACCACTGACATTATGGTGCTTCAATAATTTCTAAGTGACATTACGTCCGCTTTTCTTCTACGTCCTGTCTAGAAATGATTACAAAAAGATGATGACTGCAAATGATACCTTTTTCGTATCTTCTTCAGGTATAGAATTTCGTTTTACTTAACTATTTTTATCGTACAAATGTAGTGTGTGAGTACAATTTTAGCTGCTTTTTCCCCTAACGAAAATTGCCGTCCTAATAAATTACAGTTACTAAGGCGTAAACAAATATTAGACCAACTAGGAAATTGTTTACCTCACACAAGCGAACCGAGGCGTTTCTTACCAGACCTAATGAGGTTTTTTTATAGACTCTGTGTTTGTCTGTGCCGATTTGTTCGTAAAACATTATCTTATCTATGCTTGCCTACAATGTGAATGCCCTTGTGGAAACACACGGTTACAGCCATTTTAGGGATTTCCGCTACGGTCATTAAATTGCCAATAAGCGATAACATCATGATTTGTTCAGTAGTTTCTGAGAAAGTAGCGGACGTATCAGAATATTTTTGATATGTTCTTAGATTAATATGTGTAGTTTGTCAGTATATTAGTGTTTATCTACTAGTTACATTGATCGATATAAAATTGAAGGGAATGACAAAATTACGGCTATTACGTCCCACTAGCTGACAAACTGTGTCAGAGCCAGAGTACATAAACGTTTAGCCAATAACCGTATTTGATAATTATATGACTAGTTCTTCGAGTTGCCTTAATACGACTTTAATACATAACATAACATCACCCACTTTTCACTATTTATGTTATGAGTCCCATGTAATAGGGGGTGAGCCTATTGACAAAATTCCAGACTCCGTGCTACCACTGAGATTATAGGTCAGGTCGGGTAAAGTATCAGTAATACTTTACCCGACCTGAAAATCGAACGCGAGACCCCTTGCTCGGCAGTCGCACTCGGCCAACGAGGCAGTCGACTTTCATGCCTGAAGTAATAATGAAGTAAGAATTGTAATAAGGCTCTTACTAATGATTAATGGGTTAATAATCCTTATTAAATAGGGTAATCCCTACACCAGCCACCTAAAACTGTAGGCGTTACCGTAGTTGTTCCACGCGCGCTACTCGGAGAAGAGAAGCAGCCTCCTAGGGCCGCTAAGGTGGCGGGACCTCCCGCAAACATAGCCGTAGGCCGAAGCCTGCCGGGTGTGGTGATTCCGTAAGGGCAACCCGGGTCACGGTCATAGGCAGTGAAGGAACACCGCGGTGGTTTTAGCCGGTAAGACACCGGCACGCGCCCTCGTCGTCCCCACGATGTGGGAAGTCCATGAGGATTTCCATCGCGATAGAAAAAAAGCCACCTAAAACCGAATCCAAATTAACTATGGCAAATTTTAAAGTCAAAAATATAATCAGCGTAATTCTTACTGCTACTCAGTGGTACTTAAACAATACACTATAGCATTGCTACTGAATTACGATTCATCTTATTTAGCGCCAGTAATTTAACAGAATAAATGTATCTATTTAAAAAAATATCTTAAATAAAATATGGTTTACAATCATGACTCAGTAATCGTTTATTGATGGTATTTTAATGTCGTTAGTAATTTATTATAAGTTTTTAAAATATTCTCGACTGATATTTGTCTTAATTGTATCGAAATGTGATGCCTAATTAGAATTGGGTATAGATGACGCGCTTTTAACAAATGGGTACTTGCGAGGCAATGCTATCGGCTATCGTTTCATATAAACAACTAGATTCTGCCCACGGGTGTGCTCGATTTTCCGTGGGATAAAAGTATCCTCGTTGGCTGAGTGGTCGCAAGAGCGACTGCCGGGCAAGGGTTCTCGGGTTCGATTCCCGGGTCGGGCAAAGTATTACTAGGTTTTTAAAAAAATCTCAGTAGTAGCACGGAGTCTGGAATTGTGCTCGGTATATGGCAGTAGGCTCACTCCCTATTACATGGGACTCATAACATAAATAGTGAAAAGTGGGTGTTACATTATACAGTGGCATAATGTATACCTCTGCTGCCTACCCTTTCAGGGATAAAAGGCGTGATGTTATGTTATGTTATATGTTAAGAACCTATTCCAAACGATAATCTATCCCTGTTCCTGTTCTTATAAATTCGAAAATGTTACACTAAAGGCCAAAACCGCAAAAAGGTAATATTTAACTTCTATATATGGTATAAGGTGTCGCGGAGAAACTTACGGGTAACCGGGGCTCCGGCTCGACGTGCAGGAGAAGGAACGGGGTGGTTTTTAGTCAGTAAGAGTCTGACACTCCCTCCCGCGTCACCCAGGCGGGAGCAGTCATGCGATGATTTTACACACATAAAAAAAAAAATCTTTGTTCCCTTCAGCCGTTTTGACTTTCTTGAGTATCAAACATACGCACAAAGTCACATAACTTCCCATTTATAATATCACTAAGATTAGACAGTCAAAGAAGTAAGTTTCTTGTTTACACAGTTAATTTTAGCTTATAACATAACGGTATTCGACTCATATCTTATCTATCTTCAATTTATTTATGATTGTTTGATAACTTACAGTTATATTGGTCCTAAATATAGAATGTTCCTTTAAAATTAGTGTATTTTTAACCGACTTCCCAAAAACTTCGACTGCACTATTGGCGCGGTGGCTGGACAACCGGTTGCCGCGGAATGTGTAGCGGTATCGATTTCCGCACGGTGGAACTGTTTGTGTCGTCCACAAATTGTTGTTTCAGGTCTGGGTATCATGTGTATGTCAATTTGTGGTGGCCAGGCGAGATGGTGGGCTAAGCGTCAACCTATCAATTTATTTAGTTTTAGCCATGGTCGTCCCACTGCAGGGCAAATGTCTCATAACCCTTTTTCCACGCAATAATAAAAAAAATTGTATATTTGTAAACGCACCCATAACACAGGAGAAAATCCTAGTCTGCATCCCATTCACATGACATCTAGATCGGAACAACAATCTGTGGATCACACAAAGAGTTGCTCCGGGAAGTCCCGGTTGTTGCGGGAATCGAACCTGTGACACGTTACGCGACAGCCATTTGGTTTTTGCCGTTTGGTCGTTTGCCCCCTTCTACCATTAAAAAAACAAATAGTACACACATGTTAATGAATTTATCTTTTCTATATCCAGCTCCACCTGACGAGGATCGGGAGGACGACTTCCGAGCGCCTCTGTACCGCAGCGTGGAGATCAACGGTATCACGGTGCGGATGAAATGGTGCGTCACTTGCAAGTTCTACCGGCCGCCGCGCTGCTCGCACTGTTCAGTCTGCAATCATTGCATAGAAGTGAGTGTAGAAAATATTATTATTTCAACTTAATATGCCTCATATCCTTACTAATATTATAAATCGGAAAGTGAGTTTGTTTATTTGTTCCGCTTTCACGCCGTAATTTCTAAACCGATTGCGTTGAATTTTTGCAGAAGTAAAGTTAGAAGTCCGGATTAAATAATAGCGTACATTTTATCCCGGAAAAATTGATATTCCCGAGGGAAAACAAAACTATTGGTATAGATGGCGCTGTGTTTTTTTTTTACTAGTGATTAGACTCATGTAATAAGAGGTGCGAGGCTCCTACAAACAAAACATATTTGATTACATTTCCCATATACTGGACACTATTTCAGACTCCGTACTAAGTGTGAATATTTATTAAAATTGATAAACCATAATAATACTTTGCCCGATCTGAGAATCGACACCGATTCCTTGATTGGTAGGCATCAAATCACTCAGTATCATGAGTCATGGCAGACAAGGTTGAAAAATTAAATAATTTTATTAGATTGAGATAGTGTTTCATTTTTACGGTTTGATTAAAATACGACTAACTCACGTGAATTTTTCGAGAAGAGCTCTACTAAATAAATGATTATGTTTTCGGCTTACTCACGTAATTATTTGACGTGGAAGTCGACTAGTTTCAAGCCATGCTAGAGGCTCATATTTATGAGCAGCATTTACGACGATTACGTCAGTAAGCCGAAAACAAGAATTTATTTACTATGTCTCACGAAAGTTATAATACAAAAAGAGCTCTACTAGTTTCAAGTCAGATGGGGACTCTTATTCATGGCGCAAGTTACTTACTTTCATTAATTTGTAATGATTTATTTGTTTGTCCGCAGACATTTGACCACCACTGTCCGTGGGTGAACAACTGCATCGGACGTCGTAACTACAGATTCTTTTTTTTCTTCCTAATATCGCTCTCCATACATATGCTGAGTATATTCGGCCTTAGTTTATACTACATCATGAACAATAACAAAACGTTGACGCAAGTGGAGCCTATTGTGTCGTATCCTTTTCAAATTATACTATTTTTAAGATTATTTTAAGAAATTTGAATCTTATTGTCTGTTTGTTAGAGGTTGTTTTGGGTAGAATGCTCTTTTTGCTTTAGTGTCTTTTAAATTTTGGAGAATTTGTGTTATTGAATAATGAGTCTTATTGTCTTAGGTTTAAACATTGTTTCTGGATCACATGTTGCCTATAGCCGTTGCATTGAAATATTTATGCAAATTGTTACTTTATGACTCTGGCAATAGGAAATATTATTCAATATTAATGAAAATATTCAAATTCTTATTATGAATATACCTAAATCAATTTATAATATAATTGTTAGGTATATTTTTATTAATGTCGCATTTATATTGTATAGGTATATTTTTATTCTTATTAATGTTGTATTTATATTAATATTAAGCAAAAGTACATTAAATATTAATAGAAGCAGGTAAATATATAACAAAAACATATCGCAATCACACCTTCGTAAGTATAGGTACTTAGGTACACGTCGAGATGAACAAAACCAGTATAAGCAGGCCATTGAAAGTTCCAAAAGATTATACAAAGCTAGACCATGATAGACTGGTTTTTATAGTATGAGATGTAGCCGTGCAGGCAATAAATATGAGGACAAAAACATACCAAAATTTAATAATAATAACAGTTTATTCACAAATGATTAAATAAGTTCTACTAGTTACAAGTTACAAAGGGACTCTTATTCATGAATAACGTACGCGATTGCTGCGAAGTCGCGCACCCGTCTCTTATAACTCTAAACTTATTAGAACTTATCTCACCCATTTACGTGAGCAAACCGTTATTTTCAATGGGGGCTACCGTATTTTTGGTCACCATACGGCACAAATGTAGGTAGAGATTTCTAGTCCAATCATAGTAGTTGTCAAATATTGAATGTCCAATGGGGTGACACTACTTAGTTCATTCCCTATTGGGCGATGAACGAGAGGTTCGCAGTAGCGTCATGTGGTGAGCAAAAATACGCTAGGCTCCAATTAAGATTTGTCTCTTTGAAAGAATATTGAAATATCTCACGATAGTTATTTTCTTTTTTTTTATCGTTGTCCCACACTAGGTTTTGCTACTGTGTCTTGGGTGCGTTTACAAACATACAAGTTCACATACACATCACACCCAGACCTGAAACAACGATTTGTAGATTACACAAAGAGTTGTTCCGTGTGGGAATCGAACTCGCGTCACGTTGCGCGGCAGCCGCATCAACCGCACCAACTGTATTATACAAAACATACAAACATTTATTGAAATCCTTAACGAAAAACAACAGAATGGTAATAATGGGCATTATAGCACTATTAGCGATACCAATATTTGGTTTGACGGGGTTCCATATGGTGCTAGTGTCCCGAGGGCGCACGACCAATGAGCAGGTGACGGGGAAGTTCACCGGCGGATACAATCCCTTCTCGAAAGGATGCTGGTACAACTGCTGTTATACGCAGTTTGGACCTCAGTATCCTAGGTAAGTGGGCTCAGTATTACGATAATACAGACCATAATAGCTACTCAAAGTCCCGTCTATAGGTATAAGTCATAAAAATCCTATAGATATTGTGTTGGTGTTAATGTGTTTAAGAGATTATGTATTACCCTACTATCATCACCACTTTCTTAAAATTAAAATCAATATTTGTAATTTAGGTATTTTCTTTAGATGTCTTTTAGTTGTTTTCATGTGAGAATCGAAGTAGCTGCATTAACACTATCTTTGGAGTACATAACATAACATCACGCCTTTTATCCTCGAAGGGGTAGGCAGTATCTTTGGAGTAGTTTAGTTAAAATACCGAAATGTTGTATTCTCACTTAGTATAAAATCAATATTTCTCATTACCATTACCATACTAAATAAATGTCGAAAAAGCATATTCAGCTCTATTGAATACAACATAATATTTGCAGATTCAAAATACCAAAAGATTCAAATACTAACGAACATATTAATGCGAGCCTACTAGCCACTAGCACTAAACCAGAATCGAAATCAATCAAGATGCAACTCCTGTTTTGTTGCTCCGTTTAGGTAGGGGCTTTCATATAGTCATTCATAATTTGAAAATATGTTTGTGTATTATATATTGTAAATGCACCTTAATTATTGAACTCATTTTGGTAGAATGTAACAGAGCTAAGTATGTTATACGGTTTAATGTAAAGTTTCAATTGGACTCAGTGTTACGTGGTTCGTTCATCAAACTAGATGAACCAATAATTTTCTATCGAACTACTCTAATAAGAACATTTTATGTCGGTGTACCTACTTAATAAATACAATTAGAAGCATATCAGTTTAGCAGTTTAGCCAATCCACGTCGAAACAATGTGATTAGTATTCTTTTGAGATGGTGAACTTTAATTGCTCAAGTAACCGCTGGGCCTAGGGATATTTACTCAGTAATCGACATTTTCCATCTAATATTAATAATTTTAAATATATTATTTACAGTCTAGTCCGACCATCGAAATATATATACAAAGGTGGTAAGAAGCGAAGAGAAGCGATGCCGGGAGGCGGGCATTCTGCTTCAGCTATATCTACGATAGCTACCGACACGCAACATCAGGTAAAGACGTACACGGCGGACAACGGCACGGCGCACCGCCCCGCTGGACCGCACGCGCATTATAACAAGGTGAGAGCCAGACGCTTTGCTCCCATTGCTAAGCTAATAAGCTATAAATTGTTGTTAATAAGGTTCAAGTTCCTGTGTATAGCCAACTCTGAGAGGGGTCAAGTTGTGGTGGTAGGGGACAAGTTGTGAAAAGTTCGTCAATACATGTAAAAATACCATTGTGTTCATAAGTCATAGGGTGGGGATTTCTACAAATTCTATAAGATTGCATTCTGAATATTTCATATCTTATGTGAAATTATGGTTGTAGGGAAGAAATTATACGTCGTTACGTATTACGTTATCATCTAAAGGTCTAAAACATATAAAATTGACCATTAGCTAAATTGTAATTATTATTATTATTTACATTCATTCAGGCAACTTGGGCTCATAGATTTATGTTATGGACTCAAGTTAATAACAAACTAATAGATTGCAACATTAAATTAAATATAACTTATGTTAGGTAATAGGGTTGATATTTCTATAACTAAAAATATCTGTTTTGACACTGGGTGGCATGATTTCTCCTTTGTTTTGTGATCATTTATTTATTATGTAATATTTTATATCATTGCATCTCATTTTATATTTAGAAGACTAGTCTACAAACAGTTTTAAACCCTTACTAAACACATATAAGATTGATTTTCAATTAAATTTCAGTAGAATATATAACATTTTCATATAACATTTTGTACAGCATCATTAGAAAAACAAGAAAAGCTTGTTTCATCCAAGTAAAGCAGTAGCATCATCTAGTTATCATGCTTGTAGAGCGAATTACATACCTTCAATTCACAGACATAAGGTCGATAATAGCACTTGCACATTTTTGGTTAAAGTTTTTTAACTTTACGTGAATTGAAGACATGATATGTCTGGCTCTCGACTTATACTTGATAGTTGGTACTACCGTGAAACGGGGTAAATAGAATTCGAGGGGTAAATAGGTACTGAAGCGAGGTAAACAGCTTGTTTACCCCTCTTCTGTGTCTATTTACCTCTAAAACTCTATTTACCCCGTTTTACGGTATCAGTTGTCTCTTGGTGATGGTACTACAAATGGTGGAACAAGTTACTTTTACAACGTATACGTATTGACAACAGCACATTAACCTGTCAAAATCCTTTTAATCGATTTTCGACCTTATAAACAAAGCAATAAGGTTGGGGAATGTGATTGATTGGAGTGGGTTGATGCGCTGGTGTTTACATAGTTTTGGATCTGATTTTCATAATGCACAATTTGTTTTCTTTTGCACTGATATCGAAATGTTTAAATGATACTTCAATTTTCATGATTTTCTTTTATATAACTTCTGTGCACTATGAAAGTACATCTTTATTATGGTTGAACTCGGAATAATAAAATGCTACACAATTTTTGTACCATTCATTTTAAGTTTAAAATGCTTAGGCATATAACCTAGACTGCCTCCTTGGCCGAGCAAGTGCGACTGCCGGTCAAGGGGTCTCGGGTTCGATTCCCGGGTCGGGCAAAGTACTACTGGGTTTTTATAAATTCTCAGTAGTAGCACGGAATCTGCAATTGTGCAATTACATGGGACTCATAACATAAATAGTGAAAACTGGGTGTTACATTGTACAGTGGCATAATGTACACCTCTGCCTACCCCTTCGGGGATAAAAGCGTGTTATGTTATGTTATGTTATGCATAAAACCTTGACAGCAATAGAATTTATTATGTTTCAAGTTCTATAGGAACCCAAATATAAGTATTTCTTAATTTATTTTTACATTCAAAATATTCCGATTTCACCTATGTTTACACGATTTCTCATGTAATATATAGCACTATGTCTATTTTAAATTAACTATTTATGTATTTTATCCACTATATGTATGTCTTGTAGCTTTGTGTGTCTTTACTAATGAATATTTATTATTCTAATATCATAAAATTCAATGTTTCACGCACTTGCTTTCTATAAATTGAACTAATGCAAACTGCAAAGATTATTAAAAAATATAAACTAATTATAATTCATTTGTGTAATGAATATTTCGATGTTCAGTCTCTATCTATTCTCTATTCATTATATTTCTGTACTCTTTTCCGTTTCTGTTTAACTGACATTCATAAGAGAAACATAAATAATAATATTTGGAGCAGAAAATTAAAACTATTCTAAACTACACAGTATAAAATCTAGATCTCACGATTTACTACCTTTTTTAAGACAATATTCGATAATTTTATTTAGTATAAAAAACAATTACGTAATAACATCACGCTCAACTTTAATAATCCATCATAATCCAATTTGTTTATAAATAGCTCTGATAAGAAATCGATCGCGTTGATTATGTCCCAATTAAGTAGTCATACTAATAGCTAATAAAATTGTAATCATACAAATTGGATAGATTCAATTGATGGATTATTAGTTTTGGGCGTCACCCTTTTATGAGAGGGGTGGTCCCCCGTACCCCCTCCCACGGTGAGTGAGTAAGAGCTAGAGTGTAAAGTTGGTGTGGGCGGCGCCCTCGCAGCTGTCTCCTGGACGCGAGGAGACGGAGGCCGAGCTGGACGGGCCCGGCGCTCCCAGTCCGCGACTGCGAGCCTACGCCGCCCCCCCTACAACGAAGGGGATCCGCAGCCAACCTCTTCCCCCCTGACGCACATCATCACTTGCCGCCACGGCCGCACCATTATCCACGACTCAGCCCACTCTCCAGAAATACCAGGTAATGTACATTATGTATTTTATTAATGCTTTGATTTATCCAAATTATCAAATGCAGTACCGTATGGTTTCCCGGTGTGAGAAGAAATTGAGAAAACCTCAAATCTTATTAAGTTTCTGATTAAACACATGTAAATGTTTGCACTGTTTATAAACACAGGTACTGAGTGACAGACTAAACACACAGTTATTGAGTGAAAACCAATGAGAAAGTGGAATTATGAACAAGATTCTAAGAAATCTTTAGTTTAAAGTTTGCTAATTGTTTGTTATGATTCCAGCCACGGTGGCACAACGACATCAGGCTACCGGGTGGTGATGGAGCCGGTGAGATACGACGCGGGCTCTAACGGAGGAGCCCGGCCGTCGCCCACCATGCAGCAGAGGATCAAGGCTCTCGGCGTCCCGACGCCGCTAGCAGTCAGCAGTCCTGTCAGAAGGTAACAACCTTACATCTCATACAAGTCACGGAGACTGAAAGATATTCCCGACAATATTGGTGCTGGTTTTCTAAATTTCACTTTCAGTTTCCGCATGATTATGTCAAGACAGTTTAAATGATATTTAAGGTTAACTGATGTTAACTTTTCGATGATGCCTGTTAAGTGATATGGGCCTCGGTGTGGTTTGAAACTTATCGAGCATCCTCGATTAGTTAAAGAGTAAGCCGTAAATATTATTTAATTTGACTAATTCTTGTGATAGTTGTCTACAAAAGGAATCTACAATCTATCTATCCTATTAAAGTCTAAAATGCATTAAACTTCACTATACTACATTACTTGAAATGTTACTAGATCAAAATTTCGATAAAGGATTAATTGGCTGATTTTGAGAGGAGAAAATGTTCCCATAATTAAATAGGTATTTATATTATTTCCCATTGTATCATGGCCTGTTCCTATCATTAACAGAAATGGTTTGATCCCCTTCTACCTAAACCGGGAATGCATCGCTTAAACCACGGTACAGATCAAGACAGAAGTATAACTTTGAACTGAAATAAATTCTTGATTACAAGATGAATCTTACTTTATAGATAAAGGATTGAACAAAGTTATGCTACTGTTTAGTCTGTATTGTGCTTATACGTTTTTATTTTATTCAGTGTTTATTTTGCATGTAAAATGTTTTGCATTCACGTATTAGAGGTTAATGAGTTCGGGAACACTAATTTATGTGATATTTATTGTCATTGGTGTATATTTAGCTTCGTAAGATGTGAGGGTCGCTTACTAATATAACTTTTAAATGTGGCTAGTCTGAGGTTAAAAAAATCTTAAACAATGTAGTTTCAATATTTATTGTTCACTCATGCACAATTTATTTTATCACAGTCCAAGTAGAATACACAGTTACAGATTAAATCTCAATTACAGAATGATTCCTAATTACAGATTGAATCTCAGACTAGCCTCAACATGTAACAAAATATAATTGGATATTTATTTGTCCATGTACTACGTGTTAACTGGGACTGTAAAAAATGTATATAATGAGTACAAATGGACGAATTATATGCAGTGAGACCACGAATATAGTAATTTAGACCTCTTACACTATTCCACTTCCTATAGATATTTAAAATACCTTACTTGGTATTAAACACACTGCATGATATGATAACAACCTAAGTATTTTCTTATATGTGAAAGAAATACAAAATTATTGTAGATGCAATAAAATTGTGGTACGATATCCGACAAACGATAATCACTACAAGATTTGTTCAGGGAAAAATTTTGCTAAGGTACCTAACGAGGTATCTAAGGTACGCCAGTTTTTTTTTAATTATGTTATTCTAATTTGAGTCAAATATTCTATTTCGATCCTGTCTATCTTTCATAGAACTATCCCATCAAATCTCAAAAGGTGAAAATATACAATGTAACACTTTTCTTTAACCATTCCATAACTTATATAAAACATCCATATTTCATTTAAATATCGTTCTACTGGAAGAAATATTTGTGGTCTCATAGCTGATACGACACGAAATATAAAACTTTGTGATTTACCGCTTACCGCGGCAGGTGGACCTAACGCATAGAGCCGACGTGTCAACGGTAATTCGTAATGTCGTTTGCCCTTGTGTGTGTTTGTGTGTTTGACATTTCTTTTTATAATCTGTGGATATGTTTAAAATAGGCAAGATACCTATATACGCAACCTCTTTGGTTGGGTATTTAAAAAAAGCTCGCCTTTTTTATTCTTTTTACGGCCAGTCTTTAAGACTACCCGTCTAACCTATCTGTGGATAGATTTTCTTTCTAGATATAGAATATTACTTACGGCCGAAATCATTATGGTACATTAATTAATTTGGACTGTAATTCTCTAGTAAGCAAATCTACCGATACGTAAGTTATTAAAATAGGCCCTTGTAGGAAATTACACAAAATTGTTAATCGTTTTTAAATTCCAGATATCTAACAGTAAGTTTTGTACCATATTTAAATTGAAACTATTTTGAAAATATCCACCGATTCTCTTTATTATACTTTTGTATATAATTTTTGACTGGCTCTGCACTTTGGTTTTGTTTTTGCTATCAATTTAATATATTTTTATCTAATTGATAGGGGTTTGGTTTGGCCGCGAGATGGCGTTGTTTTCAAATTTTTGAATTGAATTTATTTGTTATCTATTTACTACTTGAATTGTAAAAATGCACAGATTATCTATAGATTATACAGAGTATTAAAGTATGTTATGTATGCCTTGCATAATATTGACTTTAAAAACAACAAGTTTTTATTTGGCATGTTTTCAATTGTATATATTTTCTAATATTGTATTTTATTTTAATTCAGTAACCAGTTACACCGTAATTTAAAGGATTTGCATGTTTATAACGTTAACTTTCTTTAGTTCTATTTTTTGTTGCGAAAACGGGATAGAATCAGTAGACTATATTTAGCAGACTTTAATGAGATGTTAATATTTTATGGATGGGGAAGGGGACCAAATAACCTTTAGAGTTTATTGAAACTCTGATTACTTTAAAAAATGGTGTAATTATAGTTATTGTGTGAATTTTGTCTGTAGTAAAACACTGTTTTATTTATAACAGTACAAAATATTTCCTAGGACTTGAAGTCTGGACAGAATTCACAAAAGAATGTATAGAACCTTAAATATATTTATATAGACATTTTTTTATTTGCAAGCTGTTGTGACACGGGGCGCAGGCGTAGCACAACACACTATACAATGGCTGAAAACAGCTACCAACGACTGTCCATGGTCGACTTATGATCATAGACACGTCATACTCTATGGTAAACGAACAACTGCTAGTCAACTCGTATTTTAAACTTTTTTAATCATTTTTACGCCGCTCTTACGTTATAAGCTAGTATTTCACCTTTTTCCAATTAATTTAACACTGTTTTCCCCTGATTTTTTTCGGAAACTATTATGAACTCTTCGTTTTCAGAAATGTAAGCCTGATTTTGAATACACTTTCAAGATATAAATATATTATCTATATTCTCACAATGTACAAAGCCATTGTATATGTCGTGTCGTTGCTTGCCCGTCTGTTGTATTATCCTGATGAAATTGGCACTGCATTCTCTTTTATAAAGCACAACTTAATTATTATATTTATTTATGAACAAAACTTTCCTTTCGTATAATTGACTAATTTAAATCTTTCTATCATGTCAACTTGATTCAAATATCCATTTAAAATATTAATCTTCTGCCGTAAACATTTGTAACATAACTTAGTTATGTTGGTAGTTGTTTCACCAGGATAAGCATGCAGTAGTAGACCATGTAGTACAGTAGTGTGTATGACACGATAGTGTAACATATAGTTGTGGCATGTGGCGTTGGCATGCTCCCCGCAACCGTAGCAGGCGGAGTCGCCGCCTACGGACCCAAAGTTCTACGCGTTCAGAACCCGGTCATCTCTCTGTTCTAACGATGACTATACTTTGATCCCAATCACGTGTTACATGCTCATGGTTATACGTAGATTAGTTTTATTTATAATTGTGACATTTGGAACGTAGTCGGGATTGCGGTACGGTCTTCTCATTTTGTTGTATTCTTATTTAAATTAAAATCCGACCGATACGTTAGAAACGCACGTTTTCCGGTGGGTGGTACATTTTGATTGTAATCGACGACACATCGTCGGCCACCGCCGAGTGCATGCGTATTGACGTTCTGAACGTGCACAGTCCGAGGGCGGCGGCTTCGGTCGCGCGATCGCACGTGCAAACGCTTCGCCCCGCAGCTCCCTTCTCCTTCTGTCCGTAGGCCGTACGATAACGATAGCGAGGGCTCGGACGAGCTCGCGCGATTAAACCCCTGACGTGAGCGCCGCGCCTGACAGGTCCAACCCGGGCACGCCGACGCAGCCGCGCCGCCCCGACTTCATCGGCGTCGGCGGCCGCGCCTCGCCGCAGCGGCGCTTCCTGTCCGAGGGCGAGCTGTTGCGGCCCGAGCCGGCCGCGCCGCACCGGCCCACGGCCGACGACATCCGCGAGCTGGCCGCGTCCCCGCAGCGCGGCAACTACCTGTGGGCCGAGCGGCCGCCGCACCCCGCCGCGCACGCGCCGCACGCGCCGCACGCGCCGCACCCCGCGCACCTGGCGCACGGCGTGCCGCGCGGCGGCGTGGCGGTGTTCCCGCCGGGCGTGGCGGGCCCGGGCGGCGTGGCGGCGGCGTCCCCGCTGGCGCGGCGGCGGGGCGCGGGCGGGGCGCCGACGCGGCCGCTGTCATTCGTGCGCGCGCTGGAGGTGCAGGACGCGCTGGAGTCGCGCGCGCCGCCGCCGGAGCCGCCGGACCGCGCGTCGGTGTACGACTGCAACTACGAGATCTCCGTGTGAGCCGACCGACCCGCCCGGTGCGCGGGCAGCGACTGACTCTCGGTACCTCTCGTGACGTGTGATTGCACTTTTATATCTATGTATATTTGTGAGTATCTGTAATGTTGACGTATATTTAATTGTGAATTTGTTGAGAGAGTGTACATAGTCCCCAGTGTTGTGATTCCGAGATGACATAATAATTATATAGAGGTTAAAAGAGTAAATGTATCAGCACCCGAGTGACTCAATTATTGTGTAAAAAATATATTTATAAAAATTGTTTTTCAAGGAGCTGTTGTATGTTTTTCCTTTAGGTTTAAATCGATGTGTCAGGTAGTCGGAGGTTACGGAATTGACTGATTCGTTAATCTGCCTCAATTTTTTAGTTGAAACGGGCGGGCGCAGCGAGGTTTAGAAAATGTCGCAGCGTGCGTTTTTTACTTGACTATTTGTATAAAAAAAGTATTAACTTGGTACATTTTGGACACAGTTGACGTAGCAAACTAAGTGGTTTATAAATGGTAGTAATGACGATGACTTGTTTTCTGAGTAAAAAATGCACGCCGTGTGACATAATAATGTGCCAAATATTCTGTAGTCACAGGTAGCTTAGAGCACGCGTCTTGTTATTTTATTTTGATCTTTGATGTTATTGAACTTTCCTGAGTTTTGTTGTGATAAGACACTATTGTTAAACTATCGCTAAATCATTGTATCACTTGCGCTATTTCGACTTGATTCGTCAATGTTTTATTCATTCTTGTAATCTAGTTATAAAAATACTTTCCTATTTTACAATTAGTGACAAAAGTATAATTAACAAGGTGGGATATACAATGAGGTGATGCGGCTTAGTGCCTGTTTGAAGGGAAGGAAGATGGTGATAAATTCTTATGTCTGAACTGCGCGTGTAATTATTAAATAAATCACTTCAATATCATATCTGCGTGTGCGCAAGTGTGAATATCGTTGTGATTGCACCGTAATTTAAACTTATGATAAATATAAAAATAATTTATGCGTAGGAATCTCAAGCAACTATGACTTGGACATAATGATCGCGAGATCATGGCAGCTTTGAAAATAATGTGACAAAATGAACTCAAAATTTGACATAAAGGATTGTAAATCTCGATTTGAACTTAATTTCTTTGGCCATACGATTGATGTTTAATTTTAACCGATTTTATAAGTCCGAACTACCAACAAAAGGGTCTATAATGGAATTAATACAATTTTAGTTCCATTCAAAGTCCCTGAAAATTCAGTTGCTTGAGTTTATGAAGATTGTGATTTATTACACCGCAGATCTATAATAAAAAGTCGTAAAAGCCCACTATTTCTAGTTGTTTTCCATTTTTAGAGAATTAAATCTAAACTACAGGCAATTTTAATTAGATTTTGTTAATGGTGCATAAAGAATTGATTCTGTAGTAATTGACTAGTATAATCTCCCTCTGTCTGATTTTTATAGATAGAGGGAGACCAAATAGAGATTGGTGACTGATATGTTACTAAATACGGTTTTTCGGTAAAAATCGGTTTTAGTAGTCGTCGGCATACGTCGTAATATGGTTATTAAATAATTTTATACGATTAATTTTATTTATTTAGTTGATCACATTCTACTTTTGAATTTGTCTGTAGTTTTAGGTCTAATTCTAAAATATAAAGTATTTTTCAATGAGCGAAAGTAATGATTGCATTTCGCAGGGTTGTTTGCAATGTAAAACGGATCTCAACTTTCCGAATTCCTATTTTGACCTGGAGAAACTGTACTTATATTGTCTGTAATGTAATAAAAAGAATATATTATTCTAAATTACAAAATATGTACTGAACACATTGAAATAGAAGTGAGTCAGTTGAGATTACCTTATGTACATAAATAAATAAAGTATATATTAAAATATTATAAATTAATATCAAGATATATATAATATAAATGAAACGTATCACTAGTTTTTGATACAAAAGGTTTAGTCGACGAACGAATTTTACCAAAACGTTCGGCAGTGATACGTTTTAACAAGATTGTATAGAAAATATAAAATACAATAAACTGTCTTCTATTTATTAAGGGTTAAGTATGTAAATATTCATGAGAAATGTAAAAGAAATATCTAAGGACAATTTTGTATAAAACTTGTGTACTAGTATTTGTTGTGAATGTTACAACTGCGTATGTAATAACAACGGTTCAGTTTCGGTGCCAGTAAATACGATATTTTTTTAAACTACATACAAACATATCAGCAGCGTATTCTCCTGTTTTATACGTAGCAAAGGTTTTGTTGAACGGCCTATAATATATAATACAGTCAATTTTCCAGTACTCTTCATTCATTCGCCTGCCTCTCACCAATGCACATTCCGTTTCTCATATTTATTTTAATGTAGTTTATTTTGGCACATTTATTTGACTGTGCGTACTTAAATTTTCACTATTAGTGCTTTATGAACACTGTTGATGACAATGCACACGTTATCAAGTTGTTGGTTGAAACCTGACTAAAGTCCATGTTAATGTCCATAAATATGTTAGAAAGACTATTATAGTTAGAAGTAATTATTTGAAATAAACTTGTATGGTATTTTGGAGTAAAAGCTTATTGTTTTTTTAAGTAATATTTAAACTTAATGTGACCTCAACACGATTCATTTTTGTAGGGCAACTTAACGTAACGTTGCGTCGGATTTTGTAATTTAAAAAGGTGTAGTAGACAGGTTTCGTACTCATTATTTTTATAATAGTCCCATAAAATGGTTGGCTATATAATAACAAAGTGTCTGTCTGTCTGAAAGTTTTATGTTTATAGTACACAGAGTAAAAAGTAGTATATTCGAAAGTAAAATACGGTATATGGTAATAAATAAATTGATTCGTGTTGCGGTTTCTTTGAAAAATAAGCAATCGTTTTGAAAGTAGTGTGTATAAAATGAAACTAAGTATTGATTTTTATAACGCTTTTAGACCCAAATATCATACGATGTGAGTGTACAAATGTACAAAATGTTTGTTTCTTTTTCTCGACTTCTCCCTAAATCCGAAAATGTCTAATTTGAGGATGTAATAGGTTTGAAATACAGCTGCGCTGCAACATACCTAAGACTAATGTGTAATTATAATAGTACCTCCTCAAACGTTATTTTATTACCTAATTATGTATGTGACAGTGTTTTATTTTTGTATTTTGATAAAATTTGTGTAAATAATTTTCTTATTTTATTGATATTAAACTCAATTAATCAACTTTGTTTTATTTGTTCTTTAACTTTTCTTATGATAACTTTGCTTTGTTCTAACATTTAATAAAAGCATTGAACTAATAAATTGTGTTACTAAACAATCTTTTGAAGCATAACAAAGCACAATAACAAAACGCTTTGCTCAGACAATGCTAAACGTCGCTCACAACTGCCTCACGAAGTCACGAAATGCACCTGTAATCCAGATGTACTCGCATTTGCTTGATTTTTAGTTCAAAATAAATTCGAATTTGTGTAAAATAAATGTTAGAATCCCAAATAATAGAGCCTAACTGAAATTCGCGGGTTTTAAAGCGCAACGCTTTCATTACAAATCAGTGGAGATATCGGTGTATAGACGACCAAAGAAAAGATGGATATAGATTTTGTGAAATTGAATGTAAATAATTACGAGTGAATTCGTGATAGGATGACTGATAATGAAATGGAAGTAGAACTTCTGCCAACCCCAAATATCTTGCGTTCCTAGCGTGAATAGAAGTGACGAAGTGAAGACCTCAAAAACAAGTGAAAGTTATGAAATCAAAAAACCGGTAATAAATAAAGGCTAAAATCGACTAAAAATATTGGACCAGGCGATAGAGTGGCTAAACGTCGGACCATCACAAAAAAACTGAATTATATCTACCCAAAAAAACTTTTTTTTACGAAAAAATATTAATAACATGTCAGTAACGTCACTCGTAATAAATTATTAAATAAATATATTTTATTATTTTTTAATAAATAATTTTCGATTATCTACTCGTTTTGACAATAAACGGAACGCGGCCATCAAATGTCACTGTCAAAGAGACATCTTTTTTCCTCTAGCAACACAGTTTCTTTTTCAGTCGACGGGTAAAGGGAATGTGAGTGTTAGAAACTTTTATAAAAATATCCATAAAAATCTGTGTTTTTGGGGAAGATATTGAATAAAAACCTTTACGTATATCAAAATTGTGAACCCCACGATTGAATAGTGCCCATATTTTTTGAAATCCCCTATAAATAATCACAAATATTGTAACTTCTAAGTTCGTGTTGTACACAGAGTTTGTGGTGGTTGTCGAGTTATTTGTGCGTATATCTTAGTGAATACACAGTCTGCTAGCTTGTAATGAGTGTTAATTGATACGCACTTGATTATTGATAGGGATTTGAGGCGTGTATAATATAATAATATACAGAAACACAAGTTTTGAAGGTTAGTTTTTGTTGTTTCCAGATCCACCCAAAATGGGTAAGATTATGAAACCAGGGAAAGTGGTGCTGGTCCTCAGTGGCCGGTACGCGGGCCGCAAGGCGATCGTGGTCAAAAACTACGACGAAGGCACCTCAGACAAGCCTTACGGACACGCTTTCGTCGCCGGCATCGACAGGTATCCCCGTAAAGTGCACAAGAGGATGGGCAAAAACAAAATCCACAAGCGATCCAAAGTAAAGCCTTTCGTCAAGGTGAGTACTTCATTTATTACTCTTCAAAATTTTTGTTATTGTAGTGATACTGTGATAATACATCATCAGTTTAATATAGTTGTATACCTGATTGTAACTTATTGATCTACACTGTACTAAGTCCTAACCTATAAATGTGAGATACATTTGATACATTAGGAATCTTGTCTGTGTTACGTATTCTAACTTACTGCATCCCATGTGCTTTTTGTTTATGTTTACTATATTACTAACTTGCTCAAAAGTTCAATTGATTTCAGTGCCAATCTTCATACACAAATTACTGTTGAACTGCTTAGAATTTGTGATTGTTGATCATTCATAATATACATTGAATATATACAATGTTCTTTGTTATAAAGACACTCAGTTACTCATTAATTCATACTTTCTAGATATACTGATAATATATTATAATTCTATAAAATTGATGTGGGATTAGCAGCTTTCAGTGGAACTACAATACATTTACCAGATCCTGTATTTTAGTCAACAATGAACTATAAAAGTGAAAATCATTTCATTGTTAGCCAGTGAACCAACATTGTGAGACATACTAAATGAACTAAAAATCGTGAGTTACTCATGTAAGACTAGTAGAGCTTTTTTCAGTATTTTCATGTGAGTAACCCGTGGTATTTAGTTAACATTATCATAAATTAGATGTATATAATTAGTGCATCAGCAATTATTTCAACTTTGAAGAAGATTATAATGGTTTTGGTGACCCAAGTTTTTATACATTTCCAATCATACTAAAACATCATCGTAATTGTTCCAGGTTGTCAACTACAATCACTTGATGCCCACTCGCTACTCAGTTGACTTCAGCTTCGACAAGTTCAGCGCCAAGGACCTGAAAGACCCCGCCAAGCGCAAGAAGCTCCGTTTCAACACAAGAGTGCGCTTTGAAGAGAGATACAAGAGCGGAAAGAACAAGTGGTTCTTCCAGAAGCTTAGGTTCTAAGTAATTTTAAAAAATAAAACATTACATTTGTAATGACATAGTTGTTTCATTTTTGGATAGAATTGCTGAGCCTGAAACTGACACTCTATGTTGTCTCGTATAGTATCATACCGCTGGCAGTACAATTCTATGCCTGTATTACTTCAATTTGTTACAGTGATGTAACTGATTGGTTTTAAATACAGCTACCTATTATGATAAAATTATAACAAGTGAGAGACCATGATACTTATCACTAATGCAGCTTCTACTAAATAGTATGATAAATAAGTATATGCCATACAGTAGTATCTACATAAAAACCGTCTTGCCCAAGGGCTGTCAGTGCTCTAGTTGCTAAAGGTGAAATACACTTCTGGGCACATCTATTGGCCCACCTTAGAGTTTAGATTTCGATGGCCCCTACATACCGAAATATGATTGCTAGATTGAACAAAAACTGTTGATGCAGTTGTAAACCTGATACATTTTACTATCTTATCGTATTGTTTTAATACGATCGTATAGTAATACGACATGGAACTACGCCTAACAAATCGTATATGCGCCTTGAAAGGCAATTGATTTTTGAATAAAAAACATGTTTTATCAAATAAAGGTTTAATTTAATAACGCGTGTTGCCTCCAAGGGCATTTACCACAGCTCTCATACGATTAGGCAGAGTTTATCAACCGCTTTATGAAATTTTGAGGGATCATCTCCCATTCCTCTTCTATGGCAGTTTTTAACTCCTGCGTCGTCTGGGCAACTGGCTGACGAGCCCTAACACGTCTTTTTAGCTCGTCCCACATGTGCTCAATGGGGTTCATGTCTGGGCTTCTGGCTGGCCAGTCCATAACCGCGATGTTCACATCCCGAAGATATCCCCTGACGATGCCGGCCGCATGGGCTCTTGCATTATCATGCATGAAAAGGGAATTTGGGCCCACATAGTCCGCGTATGGTATCATGTGAGGTTCTAAGCACTCACTAATGTACTATTCAGCATTTAATGTTGGCAGCCGTGGTCCTGAACAACCTCAAGTTGAGTTTTGCCGCTCGCGGATAATCCGTGAGCCACCGCCATAAGCAACCCTCTCTTCAAAGCAGCATTGTGCGAAACGCTCTCCCTTACGTCGATAGAACTTCCTTCCATCATTGCAATGTAAACAATTTTAGACTAATCAGAAAAGAGTACACGGCTTCAATCTTGCTGTGTCCAATTTAAATGACTGCGTGCGAAATGAAGGCGCGCTGTTCGGTGGGCTCGCGTTAGTTTTGGCCCATTAGCTGGCTTGTGTGGTACCATATCGCGTTTTTCAACCTTCTCCGAAATCCTCAACGGAGACCCGAGATCGCGGCCTTCCTTGGCGACGAACAAAGCCGCCAGTCTCTAGGTACCTCCCATAAACATTTCGGACCGCAGCGCAGATCGACTTAGGTAAATTAAGTTGAGCACTCACGTTTCTTTGGCTGTGTCCGGCCTGAATAAGAGCTACAGCTTGGGCGGCGACTTCAGGTGAAGTATCCATAGATTATTGATAGAACCTCACCTTAATGTTAAGAATAAGTAATGTTTGTTACAAAACCAAAGATAACAATCACTTTTTCAAGAACTAAATCCAAGTACCTATACCAATAGAACCAAGTTTAAATTTCTTAGTATTCGATTGTTTGATATAAACAAACAGGCTCCAAATTGTCTTTTGTTTCTTTAAATTCTGTGTTCGAAATTCAAAATGACTATTGAATGAAATTGTGAATGTGCCAAATTCAAAACTGCATAAAAACTTTTGCTCGACCTAATATAAAATTTTAGCTAGGACCAAACGAAACTGAAAATACACGTTGGTCCAATAGATGTCTCCAGAAGTGTATATTTTTATCTGTAAATTATTGGGGCGATTCTTAGCCTTTTGGGAAGAAAGACTAGAGTATGGGATTCCTACTTCACTATAATCTAAGTATAAGGGAAGCAAGTCTTCTCTAAAGCCACGTTCTTACCAGGAGACATACCTATCGCCCAACATTTACGTGGTAGGTACCACGTGGTTGGTACAGGTGCAGACATAGGTATGTCTGCACCTGTACCTTGACAAAGTAGCTCCATATTTCGATTGTTCACATTGACCAGTTGTGATCTGTATGTCGCCCGAGGACGAGTCAATATTCTCGTTGCTTTTTCCAGAACACGAAGCGACACGCTTTCCCACTACTCAAAGCCTGTCCGGCGACTGTCGACTGTCAAGGGACACGCAGTCGCGTGTGTCGCCGCTCGCAGAGCATCGACTAGCGACAAGTTGCGCGACCCAGTATGCCCCACGTGAATTTCGTGTCGAGCGACAGAGTCGAGGAACAAATGTGAAAATGCGGCTTTAACCTCCGCCATTGTGCAACCCTTGTCGAGGCATATCCTTACAGAACTCAGAACTCTCTGCAAATGTAGCAACATGGAATATAAAAGTAGTGTTTTGCATTGTCGATACAGAAAAATGAAACCAAAACCATAGCTACATAATCGATTTATTTAAATAAATTATATTCTCTTAAGCAGTCTATTCTTATAGATAACGTACAAGAGTTAATTAATTAGTGAACCTTTTAATAATTGAAACAATAATACATAGTATAAAATGCCGTACGCTTTTATTTATGTAACCGCAAAATAAACGCACTGGTAAACGAAATTAAGTTGAAATTCCTACGAACATCAGTAGGAATTAGACTTGACTATTTAGAAATAAATATAAGTCAAAAATCTGTTGGAATATAAAAATAAAAATGTATTTAACCTTAATTGGAATATAAGCTATATTCCCAAAACTGGGGATAGTTTTTTCATTGCAAAGAGGTTTGGATGACTCAGAATTAGTCTAACAATAATACTATTTTCATAAACGCAAACATTCATATTGCACACTACAAATTACATCTTCAGAACAGCCAACAGAATTGCAGCTCTACCATAATGATCTTTGAGTTGATTTTTAAAAAAATTATTGGTTTGTTCGTAGTTGGTGATTAAAATACCAGATTTTTAAAGTAGAGTTAGTTGCTTCGCGTTATTTACAAGAAGTAGCGGTAACAATTGTATAGCACGTATTTATGAGCAAATCATACAAAATGGTGATAAAATTATTCTCAAATAATTGTTTTATAACATGTAATCATTCGAGAGCATTCATTAAACCGAGTGTTGTTTCAAATCGATAAGTTTGTCGACTAAATTAATGCGGAAAATTGCACAAAGGATATAGAAAACAGATTTTTACACTGTTCAATTAGCTGAAAAGGAAAAAATCATTTTCATGGTATAAGTCTTTTAAAATAAAGAAAATCAATTTAAGTACATTTGCAATTGTTTCAAATAAATCGAAAAGAATGAAAGAATAGAGGTGCACCACTACAATCGACTAATTTCATCGACAAGCTTCTCGATTTAGTATCAACACGAGACTCCCTCATCACGCCGCGGCCAGCTTCGAGATCTTTTCGTCTAACTTCTTAATCTCCTTGTTGACACTGTCCACGTTGTGCGCGAATACTTCTTGAACACCCTGTAGTAACTCTTTGTTATTTTGCACCCCACTGGCTATCGTAGTTTGTAGGGTTTCCAACTCCGTCAAGGATTTACCGAAGTTACTTGCTGTGAACAGAATATACATACATATTAAACATGATAAAACATTTTTTGTTACGGGATCAGCGTAAGACGATCGCTAGACCAACCGCCAACCAATCTAAAAAATGACAGTCTTTTTAAAAGGAGGTCGTACTTTTTTACGGTTTGATAGTCGGGAGACAGTTCATTTATTTATCTTTAATAGGATTGGCATATGTGCGTTCATGATCAAATATCTACCATCCGGTGATGCGTCGGTTTGCTACCTAAATCACACGAATACATATTATAAACGTCAAATTTTCTTTGTTTGGATGGGTCCGTCAATCACGTTTGCAACTACTGAACGGATTTTGATGAAATTTAGTATACAGGCAGGGTATGGGCTGACGTAGGTGATACTCTTTATCCCAATTAAATGCTGTCATGAGATAAAAGTTGGTATCCTATAAATTAACTCTTTGAGTACCGTCATTATAGACACAAAGAACAATAGGTTGCGTTCACCGGCGTCATCGCGGTGTTTGACAGTTTAAATCATTAATAAAGTGTAATGTGCATTTTCGCATTGTACTCACCCTGATTGTGCAGGGCTTCCAGTGCCTCCATACGCTCCAAAATCTCGGAATGTGATATACCATCTATCTGCTTCAGCAGTTTGTATAGCTCGTTCACCTACGAGTTAAAATAGTGTAAAGTATTTTGACATCTTAATATCGGCGTCAAATGAAAGATTAAAGTTGATCTGAGAAAGTCGACCTTATTTCTTTAATAATAAATACTCTAATAACATTTTGAAAGACTTTTAACAAAAATATTCACTAACAGTTACATGTCTGCAAAAAAAATAAGTACCTTAGCATCCAGCTCAGGGTCCGCGGGTTTGACGGCTGCCTTCAAAGCGTCCACGTTGGTCAGTAGCGACGTGACGCGCGCCTCCGCGGCCGCCAGCTCGGCCGGCCGCAGGAGCGACGTCTGAGCTGCCAGCGACGCCGCTGCGCCGCATAATGTCGCCTGGAAATACAATTGAAATCAATTATATATTAAAATTGTTTGCCAAGTGTAAATTACTCGTAGTTACTTGTCCATTTTTCTGCATACTGACAATGTGCATCAGTACATAGTATAAAATAAAGTCGCTATTCGCCGTCTGTTTGTTTCTATGTAGGCTTAGATCTTTAAAAACTAAGCAACGGATTTTGATGCAGTTTTTTTTAATAGATAGAGTAATTCTTAAGGAAGTTTTATATGTATAATACATGCATATTGCACCCGTGCGAAGCCTGGGCGGGTCGCTAGTAAAATATAATTTCTTGCTGTTTTGGTAAGATTTTCTGGGTCCCATTTATTTATAAGGAAGGATTCATCTGTTTCTTGTCCTGTCAGTCACCAATAATGCAAGTTGTCAGGTAGGTATTCATTTTAGAGGTTTGATAGTAATATAAAAATGTCAGAATATCACTGACCTGTCCTGTAGCTGCCTGCAGTCTCCTGAACGCCTCCTCATCTCTGACTCCCGCTGCCTGCTCCAACTTGTGTAGCCTGGGAATAAAACAAACAGATTAAAGATAATCTTAACCAGAACCTTTTCCGAAATGGGTGGAGCCGAGTAGACATTAAAACAATTTTAGGATTTATCCATTATTTTTGGAAGGACACATTTTTATTGTGCATCTGTTGGTTTATATAAATAACAGGTAATTAATGAGAATGATAGATTAGCATTGTGACTTATAATAAATGATTTTATGGGTTCCATCTCCACTTTATCATCATAGCCTGCACCGTTGGCCGAGTGGTCGCAAGTGTAATTGTGGCCGGCTCTGATAAAGTATTAAAAAATCTCAGTCGTAGCACGGAGTCTGGAATTGTTCCCGGTATATGGCAATAGGCTAACCCCCTATTACATGGGACTCATAACATAAATAGTGAAAAGTGGGTGTTATATTATACAGTGGCATTCATTGCTGTTAATGTTAAGTAGACAGAGGTGCACCTCTGCCTACCCCTTCGGGGATAAAAGGTGTGATGTTATGTTATCATCATCATTCTATCAGCCATCTCCAAATAATGTTAAGTAACCTTTTTTGAAATAATGGTGTACAATTAACTTTATCTACATACCTATGTTCAAGCTGTGCTATCCGAGTGGTGTATGCCAGGTTGACTTCAGGTTTCAGCTTCAGGTGAGCAGTCACCACCTCTCCCTGCTTCGTCTTCTTATTAGAACTTGATAAATATTCCCTGAAGAAAAAAAAAGTAACGTTTTTTTAACAACTAAATATTAATTGTTGGTAAAAACAACACTACTTGGGAATTAGTTAACTAAAAATCCCAGGCAAACTCACGTGAACATATTGAGAAAAGCTCTACTAGTTTCGAGTCACAGAGAGGCTTTTCTTCATAAGCAACGTGCGCGGTCGGCGATGTCGCCGCGACCATCGACGATTGTTATTATAAAAACTATTTGGCAATTTTTTTTGTTACTTAGTCTTTTTGGCAAAAATAAGGTACAACAGGAATTATCATCAACAGCACATCACATTCTACTACTGGACTTTGACCCTTCTCCACATAAAAGATGTTTGCTATAATTTCCATACTTCACTTAAGGGTTGAAGACCACAGATTAAAAGGTTTGTTAGAGAATGCAAGTATACTGTACTGTTTGATTTTTCATTCAAAATTGCATTCTCGGTCTATTTGAAATAAACGATTTTGAACCTTTTGACCGCCGCAGTCGGCTATAGCTGACAAACAAAAATGTACTTAAAAATCTTGTTTTCTTGTCTGCTTTTGCCAACTGTGACGATCACGCCATATTTTGTTTGTCGGCTATAGCCGATCGTGGCATTCGCAAGGTTACAAATATTCTTGTAATTAGGAAAAACAGGTCTTACTTTAACTTCTCAGCTTTAGGATCAATTTGTTCTCCCTCTTCCAATTTTAACTCTTCTAGTAATTTCTTTGTTGAGTTGATTTGAACAGCTAGCTTCGTGTACTCATCCTGCAAGTATATTCAATAAAATTAACTTGTAACTTTACGATTGTCAGAGTAAATGGTACGAAATAATTAGCATATGTGGAAAAAAGAAAAAAACAAGTACAGAAATGCTTTATTTAATTAATAAATACTTAAACCTATTTTCTAACACAAAATTATGTCAACAAAGTCTATGGATTATAAATATTTATTAGAGTATTTTACTACTACTATTTTGCCTTACGCTTATACAAGCATAAGGCAAAATACCCTGTCTTACTCATGCTAAGCTGGTGCCTATTTTAGCTCAGTGTGCCAAGTTTGCTATTGATATACCCATGGGCTTAACTTCATTACTGTACTATACTTCTATCGCCTATACTGTCCTTTGTCCTTTGTGTGTGAAATTAAGTTATTTTTTTTTACCTTTTCACTCTCAGTAGCTTTGTTCTGTTGCTCTGCCACTTGTTCAAGTAACTCTGAGAACTCACAACGGAGCCTATTGTACCGCTCCAGGATCGTTTCTGGTTCTCCTTCAGCTGCCAGTTCCCATTCCCCAGCCCTAGGCCATTTTAAAACATATAGTAAACATATTTTGGCCAAAAGCGAAACTTTGCTTGTGTGGTTCGACTACTCAAAACTAAATTTAGTTCTTACCTGTATCCAATTCGAGATTTTCGGCTCAGTCTATCGGAAAAGTCAACAGCACCAGTTAAAAATCTCCCTTTAAACTTGTTGAAAGAATCTTTGACAGATAAATGCAATTGCTCAATACATTCATTCTCTTCCTCCTCTGTAGGGTCAGGCTGGTCCGCCTCCGGTAAATCACCGGTCTCATAAACATCAGGTTGGTCATAAGCCTGAGAAAAATAAAATATTGAGCACCACAAAGCAAAATCAATAATGTTCTGTATAATTGACATTTTGTACTCACTATGCCTGGAAGATTTTCATATTTAGGATCAGCCATGGTTACAATTATGAATTATTATATTTATTTTATAATCAATAGGATAACTTATTAGAATTTACAATTTTTTACATTAAATGACGTCATTCGACAACTGGATTAGAAGTCATTTTTGACAGAAACGTTTGGTTACACGTATAAGACACAGAATTAAAAAAAGTAAATTATTTTATTGGATCTCAACTAAAGCATGTTTCAGGGTATTATTACAATTAAGATGCACTTTTATTACACAGCATGTCAGTTTGTTCCTATAAAAATAATATTATTTCCCTTTACAATACAATTTAACTTTCTGAAAAACTTGCTACATTGTATTAATGCGTAAAGGAACGTGTTTTCGTGTAGAAATGTAACAAATGTTAAAATTAAAGCTACCCATTCATTAGATTCACTACTATTTCAAAGCGTGTCGTGTATAAAATAAGATTTTGATAAAATTGTTAAAAACAGTTTATGGCCCTTAGCATCTTTATTTTTATAAGAATGTTTTTGTGTTTAAACTGTTACTAATTCATATTAAAATAGGTTTTATAACCTGAGTCAAATTCTACTAACTTCTAGATTTTTACATCAACTGGTAAGGTGAGTGGGCTGCTTTAAAAGTTTAGTTAGAGACACGTCATTCATTATTTCTTTCAACAATACGTCATTAAAAGTCATTTTCATTAGTCACCGATAATTTAATATTTAAGCCGCATTGAGACTTGAGTTTTGTTGTAGTTGATTCTTTACCGTGTTGTGCTGCTGCTAGTATTGTAGCTGCTAATTTTTTGTTGTAAGAGTAGATTTTACAAAGTGCCACAATGAGTTTACAGTGGACGATCATCGCGACGTTCTTGTACGCCGAAATCGCAATCGTGCTTCTCTTGACATTGCCGATCGCAAGTCCATCAAAATGGCAGAGATTTTTCAAGTCAAAATTCCTCGCTTACATAAGTGGTCAAGCATCTATTTACTTCTTAATTCTTATTGGAGTGTTAGTACTATGCCTTCTCGATGCCATCCGCGAGATGCAGAAATACTCGAACATCGAGTCTTCAGACCACCAGCACTTGGATGCAGAGATGCAAGGTAACATGAGGCTGTTCCGTGCGCAGAGAAACTTCTACATTTCTGGGTTTGCGCTATTTTTGCTGGTAGTAATTCGCCGGTTGGTCCAATTGATTTCGGAGTTGGCGACTCTTTTGGCACAGTCCGAGGCTAACTTCCGTCAAGCGCAAAGCGCAACAGTCACTGCCAGGACGCTTCTGGATCAGGCTGGCGCTGGTGACGAGAAGAATAAGAAAGAGTTAGAGGAACTGAAGAGCCAAATCACTCTGCTGGAGAAGGAATTGAACAAAGAGAAGAAGGACAAGGAAGCTGTGAAATCCCAGGCTGAGAGCCTCAACAAGGAGTATGACAGACTTGCTGAGGAGCACAGCAAACTGCAGAAGAAGCTGACAGTGGCCAGTGGAGGGGATAGCAAGAAGGATGAATAGATTTGTTCATTGTATAAATCACGGTCTGATAAGTTAGTGATGTTTAAAGTCCAATTCTATTTATCAAGTCTTCACATCACTGTTTAATGCTAAATGAACAACTTGGGAACATATTTGCCATCATTCTATTCAAAATAAGCAATGATGTAATTGTGATTCCAGTTATTTCTAGATCTATGAATAGGTTGCCTTATTTTTGTTGTAAGATCTACAAAATTTGTGTACACATCTAATTAATGTTTATCTTATAACAAATCTGATATTAATCTAATGTCCACATAATTATTGTTAAACTAATTAGATACTAATGGCATTATTGAGAGTAATGTTTTGCATTTATTTTTGTTACATCAAAACGTAAAACATAAAATAAAGCTTCCATACAATTGTAACACTGTTAATCAATTACTAGCATCCATTATAAATGTAATACTGTATACAAAATAGAATTGATAAATAATATTTATATAATTCTTGTTGTGTGAGAGTGGAATGAATATTTTTCAATGCTTTCTAAAGCACTTTTTGTGCACACATTACTTCTCAGGTATTTTTGTAAAACATGAAAATGATAAGTACTATGTAAGTTGATTTGTATAACAAAAAGTCTGAATTGTTAATTTATTTGTTTTATTTTTTATTAAAAAGACAAGCAATGCATAATTTATTGTAATATAAACCAGTTTGCAATGTCGATGGAATCATAAAATTTTTGTTTTCTTTTTTTTAATCTACCCTAAACATACCTTTTCTGTGAATTTTTGTTATGTAATATTATTATTGCCTTAGTATGTCTTTGGTTGCCTCGAATGTTGAGAATCAAAGTTCAAAGTGCATTATTACCCAGTTTTACTAAATAAATGATGAGTCATCTAACATTGCGTATTTTGAACATAATATGTTTAGCATATTTCGTCATTCAAGAATTCCAAGGTTTACTTCCTTACATTGCGGGGAAATTGATATTAGAATGACGAAATAACTTCGCGGCTTTTTACTTAGATGCATAGAATTTTCTCAAATTAATAACTATCATGTTAATTTCTAATGTTTGTGGGATGTTCAACCTGTTAATTTTATCACAGACATAGAGCATTAAACTAAATAATTAAAATTTGAGTTGATTTGAATGATAGAAAGCAAAGGTGAAAAAATATTCACAATGGTAAATACTGGTTCAATGACCTTTTGAATTTTTTTTTTTAGCCCTTTATCGGTGAGGGTCAGTATTTAGTGTGTAATTGTGTAATTTATTTTTGTTTTTACTCTGTGTTTGTGGTAAATGTAATAAACTTAGAATTATTTTGTATAGCTACGAATATTATTGTCGGGTTGTTATGGGTAGTCTAGTAAAAAGGAGAGGGTTTGTTTGTGATTTGTACTCTTATACTATTTTCAGTGTTGCTTCGAAATAAATTTGTATTTTTATTTAGATGTTTTATTGATATTTTATCCTACCATTGATTGAGTATAACGTAACTTACGCAACGTACCACACCTTTTAAGTGTGGGAGAGCCATGCTTCGGTACGAATGGGCCGGCTCGACCGGAGTGATATCACCCACGGCCTCACAGAAAACCGACGTCGAGCAACGCTTGCGTTGTGTTTCGTCGTGTGAGTGAGTTTACCGGAGGCCCAATTACCCTCCCCTTCCCAATCTCCCCAATCCCTGAATCCCCAACGATTATCAAACTCCTAATCCCTAAAAGGCCGGTAACGCACTTGTAACGCCTCTGGTGTTCCAGGTGTCCATGGGCGACGCCGATTGCTTACCATCAGGTGATCCGCCTGCTTGTTTACCGGCTTATGCCATAAAAAAAACTGTTAAAAGGAGGACATTACAAACATTTTAATTTTAAAGACGAGACGATTATACGATCTTGTACCACTTTCGACAGGTAAATACGATCAGTCAACGTCTGAGCATAACACAATTGGTATTGGACAGACAGACATACAGACTCCGTATCAATTTAAACTGCGTCTGGCTTACGTGTCTGCCAAAACGTCAATTATTATTTACTATTTTTAGACACAACTACATTATGATTCATAGCGGAGCATACGTCATGTTATAGGTAGGTAAATAATATCATGCAAATGATGACAATTTCTTGTTGCATTGTGAAATGGTTGGGTTTACGTGGTCTTTTGATAATAGTAAGAATTAAGTCTTACGACAAAATGAGTGTATAGACAATCATTTAGGTATTATATGAACACGTATTCTGTCAATCTAGTTATTACGATTACGACGGAATATCTCAGAATGATCGTTTTCTTTGTGGAAGTTTTGTGGGCTTTGCTAAGACAAGGTCGAAAATAAGCATAAACTTCGAATCTTTTGGTAGGTTAATTTACCTTTCAAACTGTCAAACACCGCGAGAACACCGGTGACCGCAACCTATTGTTCTTTGTGTCTATAATGACGGTAGGCACCTACTCAAAGGATTAATTAGGTAGGTATATTACAGTGAGTAACATAGGTCTCTTCCGTCTGAATATGAGTTTATAATATATTATGAACTAGCTTCTGCCCGCGACTTCGTACGCGTAATCCCATCCCCGTCCATCCGGATCCATTTCCCGTCCCCGTTCGTGATTTTCGGTAAAAAGTAAAAAAAAAATTTGGTTAAAATGTATCCTATGTCGGTCTCCTGGCTCTAAGCTACCTCCCTACCAATTTTCAACCAAATCTATTCTGCCATTCTTGAGTTATAAGTGGTGTAACTAACACGACTTTCTTATATATATATATATATAGATCATAGAGGTATATAGATTGACGAAGACATAGGACATCTGCTACACATCACACAAATCACACATGCATATAATTATCCTAGTACCTAGCGTAAGAAGTAAATCTTTTTCTTCCTTTCTTTCTATATTAAAACTAAGGGTTAGTTTACTCCTAACCGGTGAAAATTCGCATTCTAACGTTGTATCTTTAATCATTTGCGCCTCTCTGCCTACTCCTTCGGGGCCTAAAAGGCGCGATGTGATGTGATATGTCACACGTTCTTCTGCCTCATGTGATCAATATACGAGACGTTTAGATAAGTACTAACTAGAAGTTGGTAGCTTTTCAAGTGTGGGAGAGCCATGCTTCGGCATCAATGGGCCGGCGAACCGGAGTGATGCCAAGACCTCACAGAAAACCGAAACAATTTTGTGTCGTGTGAGTGAGGCTACCGGAGTCCCAATGACCTCAAATCTCGAATCCCCAAATTCCATTAGAAAGATTTTCGGGGATTACCCCGAAAGGCTGGTTATGGACTTGTAACGCCTCTGGTGATTCGGGGTAATAAATATCAGTTAGGCTTCTGTAAAATGTCAATTTGGACTCTTGAAGTGAGCTCGGCCGTGATCTGCCGTGTCACTGATTGTAGAAATAATCCTAGCTTCACCTAGCTTCCCTGACGGACTGACTGACAGACTATTATTTATTTTGTATTTGTTGACGTTTCAAAGTATGTACCATATTATGATTTAATTGAAATAAATGCTTTGACTTTGACTTTGAAGTCTCGACCAAAATGACGGGAAAAAATGAGATCGAGTTCACATCTAGAATTCGAAATGACATCTTAGAATAACCTAGCCGATCAGACAAATACCTCTAGTTAGACACATATGTCGCCTTTAGATTACAAAACAGTTTATCATTATTAGTAAATAAGTTTTTATCTTCTTTTACTGATAATTTGAGTTCGGTGAAATGTGTTTATAAGTACTACCTACCTATTTATTTTATTTATTTAAGTACGTACATACACGTGTAGTAACACGGCTTTAAAAATTACATAGGTATGTAGACTTTAATCAGATCTAATCGGAACATCTATTAATAGAATAGTTACATCATAGTTATCTAGTAAAACCTAAAAGCGTGAACGTATGCTTAGGTACCGTTCACCGAGCATTGTACCTAACAATGTAGTAGAAGCTACTTAGGTAAAAACGTCAAAGTACCTTTGAGTAATATTAAAAATTAAAGAAAGATCGGGCTGGGGCACCAGGTCCCTTACTCTTGAAACCAATCTCAATGTCAATGCAATTACACCACCCAATAAAATCTCAATGTCAAAACTATTCAACCCCCATCGTAGCTGTTTAAATAAATAAAAATAGCATTCAGACAGAGTACATATGAACTAAAAAGCCAAACTCAATACCATTTAGTTCATTATATCCACGGAATATGGATGCAATGGGCGCTAGTGTTGCGACCATGGTTGCGACTCAATAGTACGAAATTTCACAACATCAATGTCGATCGATCGGAATCGGATTCAAGAGTAAGCCCCCAGGAGTGTAGGGATTGTGGGAGCACGTATACGTTACTACGTATGCTCTTCTACGTAAGAGGTGGTAAATCGAACTGGTTTTTAGTCTGTAAAACTATGACGATCTTATTCGTATTTCCCAGATGAGGGAGAGGAGGATTTTTCCCTTGGAGAAAAAAATACACACACGCCTTTATCACATGGACATAATACCTATGTAGGTTGATGAAAACTACAAAGCACCACCTAGAACGATCTTTACATAATACATCGTTATTTGATAGCTTCCATCACATTCAATGTCTATCAAATTCATTATTATTTGCTCTACATATCGTAGTAATGTTGTAAATATCGATAATCGAATCTAATAATCAGTAGCTAATCGATTACGAATGGACCATTGACCTCTTATTTGTAAACTCGTCAAGTCCGAAGTCCAAAGCTGGGTACTTGTCTTGTGAGATAACTGGCCTTGAATATAATTAACATAGCATTCCATTCCATCACATATATATAGGCTTGTAACTTTCACATGCGTTGTAAATAAATATATATCGCCCAAGCAACGGGGGCGGGAGGGGGGCTATAGCCATTAACCGGGTAGATGCCACGTTAAGAATTTATGAAAAACTAATTTTAATACTTTACCCCAATCCGTAATGGAACCTACGTCTCCTCGCTTGCTTGTCACATTTAGGACTGCGGGTAAGAGATGGTAACAGTTAAGGCAATAGTTATTGGAAATTATGTCAATTATCATTCATAAAACAATTAGGTACACCAAATAGTTTCAAAATTAATGTTCTAATACTTAGTTAGACAGACCAATTAATAGAATGTCTTAATTGAATTAAAACTTCACTGACAAGGGTTTAAAATGTAATTATCTCGTTTAATTATAGATATAATTAATATCTTTGATATTTCAACCTTGAAGCTTCGAGTTCAGAATCACAACAAATTGTTAAATGAACTTCAAATATTTATTTTTGGTACGTATATCTTTAAATTACATTTTGTTCATGTCGTGTAGTAATTGAGTGGTACTTTGAGGGCATGACATAAGGTTTTATATTTCGCGTAGGGATTGGCAGAGACGTGCACATACATATGTACATAGGCGTATTCTCTATGACAAAAGTAAGGTTTATTCTCTATCTCTATTTAAAAGTCATAAGTCGCTCATAAGGAGTGGTTGCCTACTCACTGTGTCCATCGTGCAGTCAATAATTCAACATTGGGTTTAAATCTATGTATATAAAAATGAAACCCGTTTCCCATTGTCACGCCATAACTTGAGAATGGCTGGACCGATTTGGCAGATGATTTTTGTTGTGTTTGTTATTGTCAGGAGGTTCTTATGACAGAAAAATAATCCTGAAAATCTTATGGGAACGGGAGAAAACGGGATTGCGCGTACGAAGTCGCGGGCAGAAGTTAGTTAAAACTAAATTTTAAAAAATCTGATCAGATTTTGCTACGAAACATTGAACAAAATGTCGATAGATGTTATCGAACATTTCACAAAGGATTGTGAAGTGTGGCGTATCTAGGTTTTATTCCAATAATCCAATGTAAAATGATATTATTTATTTTTCGTCGTGGCAAGGCCGTATGAGGATGAATGTGTGTTTACCTTAGTCAATGTTATTTTAGTTTAAAAACATGTTTATGCGGCATTGAATTTAAAAAAAGAACAGAACATGGTTTCATTTAAATTTTTTGTTAGGAGAATCAATTCACTAATTCCCAAACAGATTAAAAAGAAATAAGGTAGAGGAATACTGACTAACGAAAAAAATAATTTGTAGAAAGTCGGAATAAAGGAAAACAAAGTATTTTATTTAAAAATTTTAAAAGTCTTTTATTTTACGTTCTTGAACACAATAAAACAAAATTCATCAACTGAATTAATAGAAAAAGCTAACAAATCTTCGAAATGTACACTTAAAAAAAATACTAATAGAACTTTTTACATTTTCAAAATAGGTTTTAAAGTTCGTCCCTAAGATACTCGCGGTAATTTTCATTCTCGTTAAAACCTAGACTGTCCCAGAAGGCTCTCTGTCCAAAATCTGATGATGACTTCATTTCCATCTGCGTGGGGACAGGATATCCAAGTAGTTCAGTTCAGGGGAGCCAGGCTTCACAGGTTCCCATACAGGTCCGCCGTTGATCAACTTGGGAGTTCTGGAAAAATTGAGATAGATGGTTATATTTTTTTTTAATTTTGTTTTTTAAAACGTTGTTCCACTAGGAATTTATCCTGTGTTGTAGGTGCCTTTACAAACATGCCAGTTCATATGCATACACATGACAGACAGACCCGGAAAAACAATTTGAGAATCATATAAAGAGTTACTCCGTGCGGGAAACTCTTTATATGTTCTGTGCGGGAAACGAACCCACCGGTTGCATAGATTACAAATTATATTGTCATCAGATTACAAATTATATAGTGTGATGTCAGTCAATAATGCTATCGTTTTGTTTTCTAGACAGATGGCGCTAAATTAACGTGAGTATACATATACCTAGTTAATAATTAAAGGGGGAAGGCAAGCCAGTTCGCACCGAAATCTCGCGATGTAGATAAGTACCTCTACTATGGGTTTCTGCTACATTTATAAAAGGTTTATCCAATGTCTCCGCTCTTACGCTTGGAAAATATTTGTTTTTGCTTACCCGGTTGTGGAGTAGCTGTAGATCATGTCAATGAGCGCTTCAATCATGGCTGAATCCTTTTCATTTTGGATCATTCCAGGGTAGCTGAAGATGCTCAGCACGTCGTCCCCGTGGCTCACACCTGTATAACACAACGTAGAAGAACACTGAACACTTTCTTTTTCAAGTCAGTTAGTTAATAAGGGGAAAATAATTGTCTTTAACCGTTTGAATGGCTGTATATGAGACACAATAGAAAATACACTGTGTCTCGCGTGGATCCATGTTAGACACACGACGGGTTAAAGAGGATCTGAAGTTCTAAAGTCAAGAATACACTAGTTGACAAATGTGTCGCCAGCGACGTCGGGTAAAGTAGTGCAACGTTGCCGGACTTTGGTCGACATGTCTGACAACATCAACGTCACAGTGGACATAAGTTGCGCGTTGTCACAGTATGTCGGGTGACATCAGCCGGCTCCTCTCGACATGACGCCGATACATCCATCAACAGCCTATAAATGCCCACTGCTAAGCAAAGCCTCTTCTCACACGAAGAAGGTTTGAGCATCAATCACCACGCTTGCTCAATGCGGGTTGGTTATTTCAAACTTACAATTAGAAATTATAAGCCTAGGTTTCCTCGCGATGTTTTCCTTCACCGTTTGTCATTGGTGTTTAGATAATCTTTGAAAATACATATAACTCGGAAAAAGTCACATTGGTACTAGCCGTTGGCAGGTTTCGAACCCGCATCCTCATACATGAGAAGTGGACGTCTTAAACCTCCGGGCCATCAGGATATATGTCGTGGGACGATTGACTCCTAGTATATCCTTGGCCTAATGCAATAGTTTTGTCCAAGTTAAGAGTCAGGTCAGATCTCTAGAAAAGAGGAATTTGCCACGTTTTACAAGCAGGTTGGAGATTACAGTCTAAAAGATCAGGTTTAACAGCTGGTTGGCTATTATGATATCCGTCAGACGAGCAAGGATGGGGCGAATGTATTCTACTTGGCCGTCACCACACTGCTTAGAACAGAATTATATTATGGTGTTGAATCTTACCGTAATTTTCATCGTTGTGTGCCATCAAGTTGGACAGACTGGAGGTGCCTCGGAATGCGTACCGGTACACGTAGGTCGGTTGTCCAGACTTGGCGGCGTGGATCTGCGCCATCTTGCCTACATCAGCCACGAAGAGACGGTCGCTTAGAGCCTGTTGAAGGTATCATCCATTAGGTATGTTACATCTACTATATAAAAATAAGTCAGGTTTTTTTTCCTGCCGCTATAGCTCCAGAACGCAAGAACCGATTTTCACGGTTTTGCATTCGTTGGAAATGGAGCGGTCTTGGGCTCCGCGAGGTATAGAAAATATAAAACAAAAAAAAAATTTCTTCATCTTTTAATCACCAAACGAAATGTTACATAAAACGAAGCCGGTGGCGAAACGGAGTTCGCTGGGATTACCAGTTGAATATATTTTTATAAGGAGGATATATTATATTTGACATTTCTGTGTTTTTTTTAAACGTGAATCCGTTTAGATTTAATTCCTGTATCATCTAGTCTATAAGTCTATAGTAGACTAGAAATCAATTAATAAAGATATACCTACGTATGTTTGTACTATAATTAATTAGTTAATTATATAATGGGTTGTAGATCGGCAGGTAATTAATTAGAAGTTCACGGGATAATCTCGCAAGCTCCGTTGCGTGTTCGTCGGCAATACAATCAATCAGGCTTAACTAAGGTTAACTATGGACTGATAAACTATTAATTGGTCCATCACTAAACATAATTTTACAAAGGACAAGAATAGAACATCCAAATGTATATCACTCCCTTAACAGAGTGCCTGAGTTGACTGACCGATAGCGTGTACGTCTCCTACGGCGTAGTCAACAGATTATTCTGACCTAGGAACCTGAAAGTTAGCATGTATGAGTTAATTTAGGAAAATTCTTTCTCAGCACTGCCTCGTTGGCCGAGTGGTCGCAAGTGTGACTGCCGAGCAAGGTGTCTCGGGTTCGATTCCCGGGTCGGGCAAAGTATTACTGGGTTTTTAAATCTCAGTAGTAGAACGGAGTCTGGAAAAGTGCCCAGTATATGGCAATAGGCTCGCCCCTATTACATGGGACGCATAACATAAATAGTGAAAAGTGGGTGTTACATTGTACAGTGGCATAATGTGCACCTCTGCCTACTCCTTCGGGGATAAAAGGCGTGATGTTATGTTATGTCTTTCTCAGCACTTCCTTACACTTACCAAAGAACCAAATTTCCTGATGAATAACTGAGAGAAGAGTTAAGGGCCATGGCTCATTACCTGAATCAGCTGTGGGTATGTCTCCTGGCTAACGGGCTTGCCTCCCAAGTAGTGCTGCTTGATCTTCTGAGCAACCTCGTCACGTCGGCTAAGTGGCAGTGTGTCATTGTACTCGAAGATGTTGGCAGCCAGCTGGTTCCAGTGGGCTTCTAGATCCGGCAATAGGTCTGGTGACTCTTGGTAAACTGGAAGAAGAGATGGAAAGTGTTTTTGTGAAGATAGTCATTCGGTTTGTATTTTTGCTAAAGAGTACTCTTGGAGGAGTATTTATTGATAGCCTGAATTCTTTATAGATATTTACTGAGTAACCCTTAAGTCTAGAGGACAACTTTAAGAAAGTAGAAGAAACAAGTAGTAGAGGAGAAAGATTTGGATACTCATAAAGTTGTAACACTTACCGGCACCCGGGTACAATCCTTCCTCCGAGGTGACACTAGCAATGAGTGGCACGTTCATCATCTGTCCAGCTCTTGTAGCATGGTACGGGTACTGCTGCAGGAACGGCTCCCGGACTCCTGGGGGCTCTACCACTGGAGAGAACGGCGTGAACATGTGCACTTTCCATTCCTGAAATATATGGAATTTAAAGATTATTTAGTCGGGCAGTGATTAAAGAAGAATGTTTTATTGAAGTGTTCAACATTGTGAGTTCAAACCGGTATATTAAATAGGCTCAATAGGGATGATGACAGGGTATGAAAATTAAAAATCTAACTAGTCCGTCAGTTAGGTAATGAACAAATATTAGACAAGTATTTTTTTATTTTGATGTATAATAAAATTATACTTAGATGTAACGAATCAAAGTTTAGGAGTGGGGCTAAACGTCATTTCTACGTATAAAATGTACATAGAAGTGACGTCACGCGAAATTTCAAATCAATATATCGACGAAAGTATGTATTCGTTTCTGTAAAAAAATAAAGAATACCTGTGTAATGTTTTAAAATAATATACCAGACGGACATTAACATAAAAATTAGTCATCGACCCTATTCCATGGTCATGATCACATTCGTAATAGTCGTTTTTTATGTGATTATGAAGTGTAAGAACTTCTTTTTATAAGGGAATCGTGTCTGTATACAAAATAAATAGCTGGTCACTGCTCATAGGTGTTGCATGAATATCGATTTGGAAAATTTGTTTTATTGATATAACTGTTTTCGACAGATGACGTTCGACATCGTAATTAAGTTAGACTGCGCCACGGAACAGCATACTGGCTGCCTGCCAAAATAACAAGCATACTGCGGCTGATTGAGATACGAATATGTTAAGGAGAATTAACAATTTAGCGTTTCTAGAAATGAACTATATCTTCTAAAACTTTTATTTCCTTTAAGGAGAATTGGCTAGTTTTTTTATGGCATAAGCCGGTAAACGAGCAGACGGATCACCTGATGGTAAGCAATCGGCGTCGCCCATGGACACCTGGAACACCAGAGGCGTTACAAGTGCGTTGCCGGCCTTTTGGGGATTAGGAGTTTGAGGATCGTTGGGGATTCAGGGATTGGGGAGATTGGGGAAAGGCCTCAAAGTAATTGGGCCTCCGGTAACCTCACTCACACGACGAAACACAACGCAAGCGTTGCTTCACGTCGGTTTTCTGTGAGGTCGTGGTATCATTCCGGTCGAGCCGGCCCATTCATGCCAAAGCACGGCTCTCCCACAGTTTCCTAGGTTTAAAATAAATTGTTTAAACTTTTTAATACAATAAATGCCTAATTAAAAAATAATCATACTCTCATCTATTGATTTGACAATTAACCTACTTTTGGTTTTTTTCTCGCTAATTTTAAGGAAATAAGTATGCTATTTGACGCAGAAATATGATGACGTCATAAGTTGCGGTCCAATACAATATTCATAGAAAAGTTTAGTTTATAGAAATGTCAAACATTTCAATAAAAGTATTAAGTATTGAATTTGACTACCGGTCAAGTACTGTGTTTAAAAACGAGATTCGTACATGTTGTAAGTACCTGTATTTCAGCCGTTTAATAACCATCTGCACGGCACAGGTGTGTGTACTATACCAAGTATCCCTGAAGATCTAGATACAATCAAAAAGAGACAAGTTTTTGTTTCATATTCAATCTCCACGGACTTTTAGTCCGAGCTCTTCTTTAAGACTTTGACTGCCAATAAAAAACTGTTGAAGGTAAATCCTCCGCTAACGCCGGTCACCGGTGACCTCCATGGCGTTTAACGTGTTAATAATTTTTAAGGGGGGGGGGGACATAGAATGACTCTTTCCTCTTGGGTGATTGCTCCGTGTCCTTGTCATCAATTTTTTACATGAATGTTACATAATACTTACAAACATGTCAATTTGTGCGTTGACGATGGATTCAGCTGGCCTATACTTGAGGCAGTCCATCATTTCCTTGTTATTGTTGGTGGGACAGCCGACGATGGCAGCCAGCGCCTTGGCCTTCTCAGCAGGCTTGATGGAGTGGGTCCATTCCGTAAGGGCAGATCCACTGAACGCTATGCCTCGGTGAAAGGTTCCTGGAAGAAGTATACAAGGTTTTGTTTTAAAGCCACGTCATTTTCCAGGAGGTAACTAGGATATCGATTCTGAGTCCGAATCAATAAAAAAAATTGTAGGTAAATATTTTTCATTTTTCTGTAAATTACGGAAATCCGTAAGTGCGAACTACACGCCGCCGTCTTGTAACTAGCTTTATAACGCGGCTTAACACACACAAACTCAAACACGTAATTGACATTATTCCTAATTCCATAAAACTCTAACAAGAAACATTGCTGTCGCTTATTCTGAAATACTGTCGAACTTAAACGATTTATTATAGCCGTATTTTTTACTATTGGCCCGAAACTTTTTCTTACATTGAACCTTCATGACTTCCGTGACAAGCCCCCGAGAAGTTAATAAAAAAAAATGACACAGCTTTACAACTACACCTTGAATAATAATAGAGTTGTTGATTCTTGAAGGTGGTATTGTGTCTTCATTAACACATTGGACGCCGTGTCGGACAACAATAACCGATAACAGCGAAGAATTAGTTTTTAACGGTTTTTGGGGTAAACCAGGCACTATTCTGGGTTAAATAATTATATTACATAAGGTTTAACTATATAAGGTTACATAGGTTGACTGTTGTCGCGGTGGTTGTCGCGCAACGTGGCGCGGTTTCGATTCCCGCACGGAACAAAACTTTGTGTGTTACACAAATTGTTGTTTTGGGTCTGGTTGTGTACATGAACTTGTTTGTAAACGAACCGACAATACAGGAGAAAATCCGAGAGTGAGGCAACTTTAAAAAAAAGTTCGATTAAAAAAAGTACCCTACAATGCGCATTTTGTTTGTTGTCCCGAAATCAGTCAGTCTCGAAATCATAGAATATGAATTGGTCAATGCATTAAACTAAATCATAATCTTATACTATTATACATATAAAGCGGAAGAGTTTGTTTTTTGTTTGTTCGTTTGAACGCGCTAATCCCCGTAACTATAAGTCTGATTTGAATAATTCTTTTTGTGTTGGATAGTGCATTTATCGAGGATGGCTATAGGCTATAAAAATCACGCTACGACTAATAGGAGTTGAGCAGAGCGTGTGAAACCGCGCGGAAGTAGCTAGTCATTAATATACACAAAGTAATGATCATAACAAACAAATGAATCGAAGATTTAGCAATGCATATCTATTAATCCAATCCCTTCAAACGGGCGCATGAGGTAATCTTAATTTGAGGAGTTAATTACAAAAGGTAACACTTCAATAACTGTTCTAATTGGTTCCTTCAGTTCCTATGTGAAATGTTCATTGGAATTAATGGCCGTGCCGTTGGGGACGACACAAAGATGATTGGTAAAGTGCTCACACTCTGCGGATTTGTACGGATTTGTCGAACGGAGTAAAAAGGTTGACCGTTCCAAATCCACATTTTTCGTTTCCCGGAATTCAGTGGAAAAGTCTTTTGGGTGGAAGTTAGCTAGTTGAATAGTTTGTTTTCTTTTTGTGGCCGGTAAAACTTTGGATTCTTGTTATATGGTCAAGTATATCTTTTTGCTTTTTTTTCTGTTGAAATTACCGACGGATAATACCTATTTATTCTTTCATCGTCATCATCACCATCATCTAGAAGGTATCCGTTACTGAATAAAGGCTTATATGCTACTAACAACTAAAAACTACCAAAAACCCGTTGAAATTCATCCCCTAAATTGGTTCATACAAAAGTTGTCTCTAAACATTGGAAATAAGGTCTATAATGTAGTTTGTGGAGAGCGGTCACCGGTGACCGCTTAGGGATATATGGGTTAAGTTCGACGGTACATTAATTCTGCCGTCACCACTCGACACTGGTAGTATAGTCGACAACAACGTTTTGGAGACTCTGTTGCCAAAGAAAAAAAGGTCTAAATAAGCTTCTTGTGTTAATAATTGTACAGTTTTTCCTTTATTTTTTTATGGTGTACAATAAAGTGTAAATCCTTACTAATATTATAAATCGGAAAGTGAGTTTGTTTGTTCCGCTTTAACGCCGTAACTACTGAACCGATTGCTTTGAATTTTTGTAGACGTAAAGTTAGAAGTCCGGATTAAATAATAGGGTACTTTTTATCCCGGAAAAATTTGGTATTCTCGAAGGAAAACGAAATTATTAGTATAATTGGCGCTGTGTGTATTAGCATATGTCACATAGGCTTTTTATCTTTTTGTGATGCGTGCGAAGCCGCGAGTAAAAGCTAGTAAATAGATAAAATAACATCAAAATCTTTAATATTGCTCCTTTTCTTCAAAAACCTGACGATTTTAACTAAGCCCCAATTATTCGGGCAACATTTCGACATAAATGTGTGAGTAATTGAAGTTACACGTGCCAATTCTTGAGGTGAAAGATATGATTTATGTTCAAAACACAAAAATAAGTGAGTATTTTTGGCAGTTTTCCCGCTGTTACCTACCGAACCTGGTAAACAAAAGATCGGATTTGAATGAAAACTTATTAAAAAGGATTCTTCAATAAATTCTTTGTGAGAAATATTCGTATCTATTTTTTTTTCTATTTTAGCGGCGGTTTCACCACCTCTAGAGATATATGAGTACCTGATAAACTTATATGACAGATAGTTCATACAACTTACGTTCTTAATTCAAATTTATGTGGTAGATAACGGCTAACCAGATATTGTGAAACAGACCCTAATTGGAATAATAATATGAAAAGATTAATGTAAAATTAAATAATTTGAAAACTTTTAGTAATACATATTGATATCTGTGACTTTAAGTAAACTGTACGAGAAAATCTCGTCCAGTTTCAAGTCTCAACGGGAATCATATATACAAGCAGCGTGCGCAATGTGAGTAATTCGTCGTTCCTATTGCAATTATTAGACATACAAAATACTTTAGCATAATTCACGATATTATCATATAGCAAAATACCACGGTGAAAGCTAATAGAACTTAAATGTAACTTACATTAAAATCACAAAGCACATCTTGCATCGCATTTAACTAAGATGAGCCACTATTATCTCGTCAAACAAACTATTTATGCTTCTTGCTTATCTCTCCTTACTTCTACAGATACAGCGAAATGCAGGGCCGTAATACCCCTGAAGCAAACCTAGCAAGTGCCCAGGGCGCCAGATTACAGAGAAGCGCTGCGACGCGTGAAAAAAATGTCATGGTGGCCCGAAGGTTTAAACTGTCAAACACCGCGAGGACACCGGTGACCGCAACCTATTGTTCTTTAATTGTGTCTATAATGACGGTACTCAAAGGGTTAAGACGCCCACTTCTCATGCATCAGGGTGCGTGTTCGAAACCTACCAACGGCAAGTACCAATGTGACTTTTTTCGAGTTATATGTACTTTCTAAGATTATCTAGACACCACTGACAAACGGTGAAGGAAAACATCGTGAGGAAACCTGGGTTTATAATTTCTGATTATAAGTTTGTAATCGCCAACCCGCATTGAGCAAGCGTGGCGATTAATGGTCAAACCTATCCGTGTGAAAAAGGCTTTGCTCAGCAGTGGGCATATAGGCTGTTGATGATGATGCTGTACCGCGAAACGCGAGTTTCGATAGAGTGACAGCGGCGCCAAAAAAAAAATGGTCCTACGAGGTGCCTAGGGCACTCCCTAGGTTTAATTCGCCTCTGGAGAAATGTTTACGTTGTAAACATTGAAATGTTAGTAAACCACATACATTTGCACATTTTGCAGTCTCTATTTTCCTTGCAAAACGTTTCTTGATGAATATAACTATGTGTTAAGTCAATGTACGGTAACAAAGAGAGCCTTATTTGTAGTAAAAGCTTGCATTTATTTGCATTGTAAATGTTTTCACGAATTTCTTGTTAAGTCTGAAATTCTTGTGCAAGTTAATTGTGTTTTTTGCAGTTGTAGTTGCTGTATTTTTGTTGAAACACGCTTACTAATGGGTACCTTAAACATAAGGAGGCCTGCTTATCTAATTCGTATGGCTTGAGAGCTTGTTTGCATTTCTTAACAATTCTTAGCACTAGGGCTCTTTTATTGTCGTTCTTGTATGTGTATGTGTGTGTGTGTGTGTGTGTGTGTGTATAAGTACGTACAATGATAAGCACCGTTGTTTGTGAGTGTATTCTGATGATTTCAGTGTGTAAAGAGGCCTTTGTCCAGCATTGAGAAAGAGGAAAGATTTGTTCTATATCTATTTGTACCGAATAAGCTAAGAATAAGTTCCAGCTTTTGTCTCCCTTTTGCGCGATAACCATGACGTTCACCACAGGTTGTAAAGACTTTAATGTCTTAAAAACATACAACATATAATCGTTACTCTTCTAACAGCGTGGCGTGGCGTGCTGTGAAGTAGATTTTTTTATATTTTCTGATAACGCACGTTTTCGTTAATGAAACGGCAAAACCAGCCAGTTTATATGCAAAATATTTTTTTCTTAAATCTTTTTTTTCTTTAGCAGCCAGCGGTTTCAAATACTCGACTCAGTAAAAAAAAATCTAATTTTATAATCTGCTAACCTTTACCTTATGCCTAGTTCAAAGATCAAAGAGTTATCCAGAATTTGTCTAGTTTAAGATAATCTCCCAGATAAACTTTGTTTATTCTCGGTTCAATTATGAACGTTGAGAGGTTAAAGGTTTAAGTTCGTAAAGGTTTCTTGATAATCAACAAAAGAAAGATTGAAAGTGGGTGTGCCTAATCTAGAATATTCCATGAACAATAGAGTACCTCACAAACAATATAGACATAAGTCCCTTTTCTATATGTTAAGCGTAATAAAAGGTTATGGTTCAAATAGTTTTGCTCTATGGTCGGCCAATTCCATTTTCAAAAGAATTTTTGGCAAAAGTTTTACATAAATAACTTTTGTTTTTCGAGCTTTTGTACAACGAAATTAGTTTTCGTGAATACTGCAGCGTGCGTTTGAATGTAGAATGATATAGAGTTATGATTTTTAGTTTTTAATTTTGCTAGGTATTACTAGCCAGTAATTTGCCATGTAAGACTGCTTCGTTTATTCATTTTTAGTACCATTTATGAGCGCTTTACGTTCTACGTTTGAAACTTTGAACCTAAATACTTTTTTATTAGAAATTTAGTAGCATCGGGATAAATTATGGCATCATCAAACCTGCTTTTAAAAAAATAAATAAATAAACGCGATACAATATACAAGTATTACTATTCTGCGTTATTGAATTTAGGTGGCAAGCTGTCTTTCGATGTGGAAGATTAATGAAGAGGCTTTTGTCTAGCTGTGGTAGTCTTTCGGCTGTTGACAATGATGATGGCAACTGACTTAACTGATGATGCGTGGCTGTTGCAATCTACCTAAGGCCGAGTGGTTGCAAGAGCTACAGCTGGGGCTCGGATTCGATTCCCGGGTCGAGTAAGGTATACTGATTTTTTAAAATCTCAGTAGTAGCATGAAGTTGGAATTGTGCCCGGTACATGTAACAGGGGTTATGTTTTACATGGGACTCAACATAAATAGTGAAAAGTGGGTGTTACATTGTACATTAAGTGCCGTAATCTGCACCTCTCCTATACCCCTTCGGGGATTAAAGGGCTACTCTAAAACACTCCATCAATATCGACAATTATAAACATAGACTCCAATCTATAAATACCATCAAAGTTACAACTTCTCTAACTAAAGTACAAGATGGAACCTCCTCGAGTCTCTATCTATGTAGTTATCTTGAAATCGATGTTGGAGATTAAAGTCTGTGATTCACAACTATATTGAAGTTAGAATAGTTCATTCAACTATTCGAAGTAATGAGATTAGGTCTTGTCCGTCTAATATAGTTATCCTATTATTAACATTTCAACCCCTCGAGCGTCCTTATGAGCACCCGGTGGATCATAAGAAAAAATGCTCCATGCTGCTTTCTCTTTTATAAAATCTATTATTAATGTTTTGTTTTTATTTTGACTGTATTTTTTATTTCTATTGTAATGATCCTTGTTTTCGTGTGCCAATGGCCAAATAAATGCATTTTCTTTCTTTCTTTCTTTCTCCAAATCTCACGTGTGCCGTTGGATCATAAGGAACGCGGACGCTCGACGGGTTAAACGCCAGAGCAAAAACACATGAACCTGCCCTCAACGCTAAGCCACAAATTCCTCGCGTACTACGGAAGAAATAGGGATTCCAATAGGGAATCAAATTGTTGATTTCGTGTTCTCGGTTCCGCTTTTTCTGTCATGTATTTGTGTCGTTGGGGTCATTTTCTAGGAGGTAACTCGGCTATCAATTGAGAGTCCGAATCAATAAAAACAATTACGGAAATCCGTAAGTGCGAACTACACGCCGCCGTCTTATAACTGGTTTTTATAACGCGGCTTAACACACACAAACTCAAACACGTAATTGATATTACATATTCCTAATTCCATAAAACTCTAATAAGAAACATTACTGTCGCTTATTCTGAAATACTGTCGAACTTAAACGATTTATTATAGCCGTATTTTTAACTATTGGCCCGAAACTTTCTCTTACATTGAACCTTTATGACTTCTGTGACATGCCCCCAAGAAATGACACGGCTTCAAAACTACACCTTGTATGAGACATTGGCGCTCAAAAGGTTAAGCAAGGACGTTGAAAAAGTGGCGGACATAGTCTCTTGAAACTATAGCACTAGACTGTAGCACCTGGACATACACGTAGAACATACACACATTGACACTCAGGACATCAGTCATTTTCTGAGGGATGGTAGCTCGCTCTGGTTTTAAACGCAGTATTTATTTTATTATGTTTTGTGTCTTTTTTTTTTGAAAAAACATTGCCCCACACTAAAATTTCCTCCTGTGTCGTGTGTGCGTTTACAAACATATAATTTTACATACACACTACACCCAGACCCGAAACAACAATTTGTGGATCACACAAAGTGTTGTTCCGTGCGGGAATCGAATCCGCGGCACGCTGCACGGCAGCCGGTTGCCCAGCCACCGCACCAGCGGTGCAGTCTACATAGACCCGTTTTACCACTTATTTTATATTACAGCATGTATTTACTTTAGTTCTTACCTCTGGACAAAGGCGACAGGTAATGATAGTGCACGCTGGCGCCGCCAGCAGAGCAGCCGGTCAAGGTGATGCTGTCAGGGTTGCCTCCAAACATGAGGATGTTATTCTTGATCCAGTGCAGGGCAAACGACTGATCCTTCAGACCCATGTTGCCTGGTGCGAACTCATCGCCTGTGCTTATGAAACCTGGGGAGAAATAGAATGATGATTTAACATTTTTTTTTAAAGTATAGTATTCCATGTTATAGTCGTGGTGATGGTGGTTAAGACGCCCACTTCTCATGCATGAGGGTGCGGGTTCGTAATCTACCAACGACAAGAACCAATGTGACTTTTTCCGAGTTATATGTACTTTCTAAAACTATCTAGACACCACTGAAAAACGGTGAAGGAAAACATCGTGTGGAAACCTGGGCTTTTATAATTTCTAATTGTAAGTTTGAAATCGCCAACCCGTATTGAGCAATCGTGGTGATTAACGTTTAAACCTTCTCCGTGTGAGAAGAGGTTTTGCTCAGTGTTGTTGATGATGATGATGATACCATAAATAACGTTATCATCCAGGTACAAATAGCAACATGACGAGTTATACAAAACCAATTTATCATGATCCCGGTTCGTTATGATCATTCGGCATATTCGACGGTCAGTTTATACTAGTTTGCATAGCTTGATGTGTCGCCGTGTTTACTAGACGGTACTGACATTTCCTATCGCTATAACGTTTTTTGTGTGACAATAGTACCATATTCAATTGTTTTTTTATGTTCCTTGTAGAAAAAACTATTCTGCCTTGATTTTTTTTGTGTAGAAAGGAACATGACTAATTATAATTTAGATACTAACTGCTATCGAACCACATGCGGAAGAGGATATAAAGTAATTATTTAGAAGTGTACAAAAAGCGACCGTATGATAATTACATTTTAAGGTTTATTTTATTTTAAGATCAAAGGCTCCTCGATAAATGGGAACAAATACTTATATACCTCTAGTATTGAACTTTGTTTTAACCTGTTTGAATACGAAGTATCCTAATTTAACAAAGGAGATTATTTTGGGTTCTGTAAACGTGGTTCTTGGTAAATTGCCATTGAGTTAAAATAAGGATTCACAAATATAAAAAAGAAGTAGATATTTCTATTTTCCTGTTGTTTGTCTTGTACCAAGTTTGACTGATCAAGATTAAATTGAATAGAAGGTTTTTATTAGTTTGATCCCGTCTAAGGGTCAACTCACACCGAAAGAGCGGCGAAGGGGAGCGAAGCGCGGATTCCCATAACTTCTCGAGTTGTCTCGTTTATAGACATAACATCACGCCTTTTATCCTCGAAGAGGTAGGCAGAGGTGCACGTTATACCACTGTAAGTACAATGTAACACCCACTTTTCACTATTTATGTTACGAGTCCCATGCAATAGGGGGTGAGCCTATTGCCATATACCGGGCACAGTTCCAGACTCCGTGCTACTACTGAGATTTTTTTTAAAAACCCAGTAATACTTTGCCCGACCCGGGAATCGAACCCGAGCCCCCTTACCCGGCAGTCGTAATTGCGACCACTCGGCCAACGAGGCAGTCGTTTATAGAATTTGCTGGAATGCCATTCTCGCGATGCTGCGGGCATCCGTTGGAGTTTATCTTGCTATAATAAGTCTTATTAATAATGAACATAAAGTTAAAACTCATATGACACTGGAACTGCGCTCCGCTTCGCTGCGTTTCGACACTTTTGGTGTTAGTTAAGCCTAAGTTCTTTTAAGCAAATAAGCATAGATCTGTATCACTTGATGGTAAGCAATCAATGATCTTGTTTTGATTAGCTTCAGCCAGCAGGTTTAAATTTAGCCTAGTCAATTTTTTTTATATTGGTAAAATGTCGACCGGAGTGATACCACGGCCTCACAGAAAACAGACGTGAAACAACGCTTGGGTTGTGTTTCGTCGTGTGAGTGAGGTTACCGGAGGCCCAATTACCCCCTTCCCCAGTCTCCCCAATCCCCGAATCTCCCACAATCCTCAAACTCCTAATCCCCAAAAGGGCGGTAACGCACTTGTAACGCCTCTGGTGTTTCGGGTGTCAATGGGCGACGCCGATTGCTTACCATCAGGTGATACGTCTGCCCGTTTACCGGCTTATCTCATAAAAAAAAAGAAGGGCCGTCTTGTCTTAGGAATTCATCTAGGCTTAGGTACTACAAGGAATTTTGGAAGAATTGAAAGTATAATGTGGGGTCTACAATAAAATAAAAACCCACACTTTCCTTGTTTGACCTTTTCAAATATTAAATATTTGTCGTCTCCCAAAATAGACCCTGTATGTGTAAGTTCATAGAAATCCCAATTTCCTGGTTGGCATTTGTAAATTTAATCTCAACGAAAATGAAAATTGTTTTCTGCGTCCCAACTCTCTTTATTTATTGAATTTTAATTTTAACCTTGTTGTATAAAATATTTACATGCAGGAACAACTAAAACTGCAGACCGCTATTAGCACACTGTTTTATTCTTTTTTTAAATAGCATAGACAATATACAAGCATAGACTATTGTCATCACAAGTGGCGAGTAATCTACTTGCACAGATAAGCAAATACACAACAACCTTTAATTGAATTTTAACCTTATTTATATAAATCTTATGTCTCATCTCTTTATAGCAAGGTTATTTATTTATGCTGAACTTTAATGACTGTATTGAATTCTTGTCCTCAAAGTTAAATTTTAAACTTTTTCTTTCTCCTTTTCTGAATATTGGTGATACATAGTTTTTAGTCAGTAAGAGTCTGACACTCCCTCCCGCCTCACCCAGGCGAGAGCAGTCATTCGATGATATTCCACACATAAAAAAAAACTTTTGGAAATAAAACCAATATTATGATTAAATGTAAACAAAAGACAAACAGTAGCATTTGTTTGGAAGGTTTCCTGTTGTGTCGAATGATTGTTTGTTACGTAATTGGTTTTCGTCCACCTTTGTCATACAGAGGGCCTAGTAGGTACAAGTCCGTTTTGTGCTTACCGCGATCGAATCGTTACCACAGTTGGCGCTGAGACTGGTTGTTTCATTGGAACAGGCCAATCAGAACGTCGAACGCCGTAACGCACAGCACAAATTCGTACTGGGCCCTCAATGACCTTGGAGGGAGATAAGTTCTATTTTTCTATTACATAAACGTGTATGAATATTGTTTTGTTCGTATGTTGAAAGATGTGAGTCTCTGAGTGGTTGTCTTGTTGTGTTCGTTAGGAATATAGTGGTTGTTTTCTTCGACAGGATAGGTAGGTAAGGTATTGTTGGGTACATGTTCCTGGAGTAGGTTTTATAAACAGACAATTGGCTTAGTACTTTATACTAAGTGAACTAAGTAATGTTGTTCTCCATAGGAATCTACGCCTTGGAATGAGCAACTAGCTTCACTTATACATTTTTGTTGTTTGACGTTCAAAAGTGCCATCCTGGTCTAAATGAAATAAATGATTTTGATTTTGACTTTGACTTTTGACTTTGACTTTGTTAAGGCCAGGCATAATAATGAGAGTATAGTATAGTCATAAGGGAGGCAGACCATGTGGTAACAAACCCACGAGTACCTAATTATCACTATATTTAATAAAGTATTAACTGCCTCTTTGGCTAAGTGGTCGCAAGGGCGACTGCTGGGTAAGGGGTCTCGGGTTCGATTCCCAAGTCAAGCAAATTTACTAGTAGAAAATTTATTACTAGTAGCGGTACATGGCAATCGGCTCACCCCCTATTACATGGGACTTATAACATAAATATTGAAAAGTGGGTGTTACATTGTACAGTGGTATTAAGTGCCGTAATGCACTTCTGCCTACCCCTTAAGGGATCAAAGGCTGTTATGTACGTGTGTTATGTATTTACTAAAGTAAGTAAAAGTAAATATACCTTTATTTACACATAGACTGTGTATGAATAATCTCGGGCTCAGAAGTAATGACCTCACCATATAAACAAGGTGTTAGTTAAGCCTACGTTTTATAGTTGTTTTATCATCAATCATCAGCCTATAATTAGCCACTGCTGACCAAACACCTCTTCTCACACGGAGAAGGTTTGAGCATTAATCACCACGCTTGCTCAATGCGGGTTGGCCATTTCAAACTTATAATTAGAAATTCTAAGGCCAGGTTTCTTCACGATGTTTTCCTTCACCGTTTGTCAGTAGTATCTAAATAATCTTAGAAAGTACTCTATATATATAACTAGCAAACCCGGCGAACTTCGTTTCGCCACCAGATGGCTTCATTTTATGGAACATTTCGTTTTGTGATTAAAAGATGAAGAATATTTTTTTCCTGAATTTTCTTTGCTATGAACCTCACGGAGCTCGAGACGAATGAAAAACCGTGGAAATCGGTTCGTGCGTTCTGGAGTTATAGTCAGGAAGGAAAACCCGACTTATTTTTATATAGTAGATAACTTGGAAAAAGTCACATTGGTACTAGCCGTTGGTAGGTTTCCAATCGACACCCTCATTCATGAGAAGCGTCAGTCTTAAACCTCCGGGCCACCACGATATAGTTGTTTACACAATTACAACTATCAAATTACTACTAATATTGAGTTACTTAAACCAACCAAAATTTTACCTCATCTTTGTAAACATGGCTAAAGTAAATGTTTGCTTCAAATTCTGTATAAACAATCTTCAGTAGTTATGGCAACAAGGCCCTCAGTACGATTTAATTTTCGAAACTTAAATTTTAAATTGAAGCTACGTAGCTTTGTTTTAAAATTGGGTACTTGCCTTCTTCAAAAATAAATTAATTCGACTGTTCAATAAAATAAATTATTTATTAAAAATGATCACACTTTCATTCATTGATTTTATGAGCAACTTAATTTTAGTATGTTTCCAGCAATTTTTTAAGAAACAAGTATGCTGTTTCGTTTGACGCTAAAAAACGTGACGTCACAATACACAATCTCGTACAAAATTCATTGAAAACTGTCGTTTTTGACAGTTCGAAAAAAGTATTGAATTTGACTAATTGGCAAGTACTCAATTACGTAAAACTAGTTTCTGCTGCTTTTTCTCTTTGACTGGATTTAGGTGTTGCATTGTTCTCACACAATCGAACCAACAAAACTATGCAACTAAAGAATTGTATTGTAAACCCGATTGAAAAAGAGTAACCTATGAATTTTCTTACTCGTTCTTCTCCATAGGAATCTTACACCTTTGAATGAGCAACTAGCATCACTTCTACATTAATTAATATTAATAGCCTATGTGTTATTAAAGAGCACAATATACCCCTGTTTCAAATTTCACCCCGATCCCTTCAACTTGAGTTGAAGTGATTTATTTAAGCACCTTTAACATAAACTCAAACACACAAACCTACAAACTATCGCATTTATAATATTAGTAACTAAGATATAAATTAATACGCTTTTCCCAGAACTAAAACCTATACTTACTTCTTAGAATTCAAGTGTACTATTAATATAAAGGATTTGTTTTCTAGAACTGTCATAGTGATATGAAAATTGCTCATTGTTCCAGAAGGTTTCATAGAATTTCTAAATATCTATCTAGTCGCTAGTCAGTAAAGTTAAATAGTGGATATAATTATTAATAACACATAACATAATATCACGCCTTTTATCGCTAAAGGGCGAGGCAAAGGTGCACATTACGGCACTTTATGCCATTGTACAATGTAACACCAAAACACTATTTATGTTATGAGTCCCATGTAATAGGGGGTCAGTCTATTGCCATATACCGGGCACAATTCCAGACTCCGCGCAACTACTGTGATTAAAAAAAAACCAGTAGTACTTTGTCCGACCCGGGAATCGATCCCTAGACCCCTTGCCCGGCAGTCACACTTGCGATCACTCGGCCAACGGGGCAGATAATTATTAATATTTGTAGTTTAAGGTACTAAAACATATACGTATGTATTTCTTTCAGTCATGGTTATGGTAAAAAACAAAATATTCAATTGTTATTTTAAGGCCCTGTTAACTCGGCTAAATTTATTATTGTATCTATTAAAGATTTAAGATTGTAACATTTGAAAAGTTATTTATTTTATGCAACAAGCTCGCCACAACCTCTCTAAACCATTGCAACGCCTGTAAGCCAGGATCTACAGTGGATACAACTATGACAACACTGGCACAAGACGAGTCTGGCGCGTCCAAGGGACATGAATAATTATCTTGGATCGAGTAACAAAATGAATCAGAAGATATTAATAAACGAAGCAAAAATGATAGTTTCCACTTCCCTCGGTGAATTTAATGCTGGAGACAGTTGAAAAGTTAGCTAAATCTCTGCTTAATCATGGTAAAATATCTATACACTTAAATAAAATGGGTTCGATTCCTGGGTCGGGCAAAGTATTACTGGGTTTTAAAAACATCTTAGTAGTACCACGGAGTCTGGAATTGTGCCCGGTATATGGCAATAGGCTCACCTCCTATTACATGGAACTCATAACATAAATAGCGAAAAGTGGGTGTTACATTGTACAGTGGTATAATGTGCACCTCTGCCTACCCCTTCGGGGATAAAAGGCGTAATGTTATGTTATGTTAAAAATAAATTTCTGTTCGTTAGTCTTGTTAAAACTCGAGAACGGCTGAACTGAATTGGCTAATTTTGGTCTTGAAATGTGTGGAAGTCAAGGGAAGGTGAAAAAAATTGTATACGGTACGAAGAAGTACGATGTATGTGTTGTCCTTTATGTTGTATGTGTGTACATAAAAAAAAAGTTGCCGGGTCAGCTAGTTAGGCATAAAAATAATCCTGTATTATGTTCCTTACAACTCGATCAGTGTCAAAATCGCCCACATACACGTTACATTCGTATAATATTCAATGTCTGCTCAATAAATAAACGCCAGCCTTCAGATTGCGAATAACACTCGTACTCTTAATAGATTGTATCCTCTGAAACACATATCTTCATGGATATTTTTAGAAAAATACGAACTATGTAGTCAATTTGTTTATAAACTGAAGGAATTAGGTTTCTATGTTGAATAATTTATTGTTAAATAAAAGTTTAACTTTATACATATCGGCAAGAACATTAAAAAAGGTGGACTATAATGCCACTTAGAAATGAGTGACGCACCATAATATCAGTGGGTTATTTATGTGTGCGTGTGTAATGGGTTACCACGTTACCACATAACATCACGCCTTTTATTCCCGAAGGGGTAGGCAGAGGTGCACATTATGCCACTGTACAATGTAACACCCACTTTTCACTATTTATGTTATGAGTCCCATGTAATAGGGTGTGAGCCTATTGCCATATACCGGGCACAATTCCAGACTCCGTGCTAATACTGAGAATTTTTAAAAACCCAGTTATACTTTCACGTTACCAGACCTAAGAAGATGAAATATGCCCTTCGTGTCAATGTGTGTATGTTCTGCGTGTAAGTGTATAGTAGCCAGGTGCCACAGTCATTGTTTCAAGAGGCTGTATCCACCTTTTTTTCAACGTCCTTGCTTATTTATTTATTTCAATTAAATAGTATATCATTACAGTCATAAAACCAAGGCATATGTATATGTAAAGGAAGGCCTTTTTGCACTAATCAAGGGATTAGTGCATATTTCTTTCACTTTATCTCGACTTATTAATTTTATGACTAGATAATAATTCAAGCTTATCGGTTCTAAGTATTTTGAATTTGGTTCTTTCCAGGATGTTACCAGTTTTATTGATTCGATTTTTGTTTTTGTTAGTTCGTTTATTAGTAGTGTCAGTATTCGATTAAATACTAAGTATGTCTAGATCTACTACACGAGTCCTTAGAATAGCTGTCGAAAAGTGGATTGCTTCCATTTTTAACAAGAGCTATTAACCATTTCGAGAGACAAGATACCAATATTACACGACACTTACCTAGAGGTCCAAGTCGGTAGTTCAAGGTGACCACAACCATATCCCGGTCCATGAGGTTGCTGGGGTCATATATCGCTCCTTCACCATACATGAAGGCTCCTCCATGGATGAAGACCACGACTGGTAGGTTGGCGCCAGGGTTCATCTTCGGAGTGAACACGTTCACGTACAAGCAGTTCTCGCTACCTGGTGAAGGAAATTATAACGTTTTAATAATGACATCAGCAGCCTATTAGTGGCCACTGCTGAGTAAAGGCCTGTTCTCACACGGAGAAGGTTTGAGTTACCACGCTTGCTCAATGCGCCCACCCCAGTTTCGCCTTTTTTTTGAGGGGTGAAAGTCATTCAATGACTTCTCTCGCCCGAGTGAGGCGGGAGGGAGTATCAGACTTTTACTGACTAAAAACCACCCCGTGCAGGAGTAGCCTGCACTTGCCCCGGCAACCCCTTAAGCCCTTCGCAGCTCACTCTAGTTTTGCTTGGTTAGTGTTTTCCCATATTCTTTGTAAATGTTTAGAATTTTTCTTTCAAACAAATCTTGTCAAATTAACAAACACGACAAGATTTTTTTTATGTCAAACGGTTCACCTTATGGTAAGCAATCGGCGTCGCCCATGGACACCTGGAACACCAGAGGCGTTACAAGTGCGTTACCGGCCTTTTGGCGATTACGCCTTTGAGGATCGTTGGGGATTCAGGAATTGGGGAGATTGAGGAAGGGGAGGGTAATTGGGCCTCCGGTAACCTCACTCACACGACGAAACACAACGCAAGCGTTGCTTCACGTAGGTTTTCTGTGAGGCCGTGGTATAATTTCGGTCGAGCCGGCCCATTCGTGTCGAAGCATGGCTCTTCCACACTTAAAATTTGAATTATTTATTTTATCGTACTTATCTACCTTTTATTTCAAAGTCAAAGTCAAAGTATTTATTACTGTGCTTTCGGGTGTGACACAGGTCTTAAATTTATTTTTGTCTTTACATTTACGAGTCCACAGGGTCATTTGGGAGGCGTACGAGGAGCCATAGATAACTGCGCAGAGGCCCTTTAGAATAATATTTATTATTATGATTTATAATTTCGGCGAATCATTGGTTTTTATACAAATGAATATAAACACTAGTCTGTATGCTAATTTTACTTACTTTCAATGTTCGTGTTTATATTGTTGATATGAGTTAATAAAAAAATGGTTTGAATTTTTAACTAAGTCTGCAGGAATGTGATTATAAATATTATGGTGCGATAGCAGTACAATGAGTGTTTATCGCACTAAGCAGCTTTGGTTAACCGGCAATGCAGTAGATAATTAAGTAGTAGGTACTTATTTTGAATATGAAAGTCACAATATCCATATAACTCGTGTATTGGTTTCCACGATGGCAGAGTAGTAGTACACCATCTTTTCTCTTTCCGCGGGTGTCATGAGCCAACTAATATGTCTACACATTCAACCAAGCATCAATCAGCGTCCTCTGAAAAACCTAAACCATTTAAAACCCGCAATCTCCTACCCGCTTACTTAGCCCGAACATTAAGACAAACCATATTTTATGTAGATGAGTCCCATAGGTCCTATAGTCTAGCATTAGACACACACACATCAAAAGCCTATAAATACCTGCCCAATATATAATGCCCCAAGTGTTGCAGTCGTATATAGGCCACGGTAACCGCTTACTATCAGGTGGGCCGTGTGGTTTTTGCCTCCGTCGTGGTATAAAACAAAAACCTACTGCTGGCTGAGCAAAGCCTCTTCTCACACGGAGAAGGTTTAATCACCACGCGGGTTGCCGATTTCAAACTCATAATTAGAAATTATAAGCTCAGGTTTCCTTACGATGTTTTCCTTCATCATTTGTCAGTGCTGTCTAGATAATCTTAGAAAGTACACATAACCCGGAAAAAGTCATATTGGTATTTGCCGTATTCTCATGCATGAGACGCGGGCGGGCATTGATTTCCATTCCTTAGGAGAATTGTATGAAGACACAATATCTATACAAGCCATGTATTACACGAGGATTGTGGTTTCAGTAATATACGGATACCACTGAAAGCCGTTTCAGTAGATCTGAAACATCGTATATGTGTCTGTAAATCAAAGAGGATAGCTTGCTGATTCAGACTTGCAGCTTAGCTTGGAGTGCGTCATATATTTTCAGTGACATTCAAGGCTTTGCGACTAATATGCTATCAGACAATGGAATGAGGTATTGCATCATATAGTTAATACCTTTTATACATCTTTTATACTTACAAAAGATAAATAGAGGGTGCATAAATTATATTTTATTGAGTTGTCACAAATCATGGCGATTCTTAATCATAAAAGTCATCAGGACAAGATCACGTCAGACACTGGCGTGCTCTACTCTCGTGCGTAAATTGTAAGATAGATATTTCAGGGCAATAAACGAATTGGAATATGATTTGGAATTGGGCATGAGTAAAAAGAACTTATAATATAACAAAGTTACTAATAAGTGATCGTGCCTAGCGCTAAATAAACGTTGCCTCTCTTTCTACTAAATTTCAGTTGTATTAAGTACATGTATCTATCTCTAAAGCTTACCCTATGCCAAATAAAAGGTGTAAAGGTATGTTACATTGACCTTAAGTCACCTTAGGCCGTAGACTAAGTGGAGTTTATTTTTATGGCCGTCTTCAAGTAAATTGTTCGGTATCCAATTGTCCAGAGTGCAGAGACAACGATATCTCTTAATTTCGGGGTCACATTCGCTAATTACAACAAATGGTTCAAACATTTCCAAGGGTTTTTGTATATTTGTATCGAAGTACTATTGTATTTTAAAAAGTAAGTATTACAAAAACATTTTTTATGAGATGAGCCGGTAAACGAGCAGACGGATCACCTGACGGTAAGCTATCGCCCATGGATACCCGGAACACCAGAGGCGTTCAAGTGCGTTACCGGCCTTTTGTTCATGATTGTTGGGGATTTAGGGATTGGGGAGATTTCGGAAGGGGGTAATTGGGCTTCCGGTAACCTCACTTTATACGACAAAACACAACGCAAACGTTGTTTCACGCCAGTTTTCTGTGAGGTCGTGGTATCACTCCGGTCGAGCCGGCTCATTGCCAAGCATGGCTACCCCACACTTAGCATATTGGTCTTAAGTTAAAAGTTTATAAATTTCAAAATTATTCATCGGTTAACAGAGGCCATTTTTCATGCCATTCTATTACTATCAATTGAAAAACCCCAGAATTGAATTTGAGACCTTTTGAAAGAGAAGATGTAGATATTATTTTTGCATTTCTTTAGATATAGTTTCCAGTAATCGTGAGTTGTAGAGAATTTCCTTAATAAGGTTTTATTTATTTACCTGTAATCTCCTTCACGAAGGGGTCGTACTTCAGACACCCGGGGAGTGGCCTGGTGGCGTCCCATACTCCGAGCCATGGCTTCAGCTGCTGGGGTTCCTGTTAACAATGGAATGTGATCTTAAAACTCAATTTTGACTGCACGTTTGGTGCGGTAGCTGGGCAACCGGCTGCCGGGCAACGTATCGCGGGTTCGATTCCCGCACGGAACAACACTTTGTGTGATCCACAAATTGTTGTTTCGGGTCTGGGTGTCATTGTGTATGTGTGTCTTGTATGTTTGTAAACGCACCCACGACAAAGAAGAACATCCTAATGTGAGGCAACGTTATTTAAACAAAAAAAAAATGGAAAAGAATTTAGCATACTATAATCTATTGTATATTTATTGTAATACATGTTTGTGGATCAAAACAGCATTAAAAATGAGCCTAAAATATCACTGGGTAAAATACACAATTCTGCATATTGAATTTTGAAATTTTGACAACGGCGATTTATTAATAGAAAAACAAATTACAACTTTTTGCCTTTTTTTAAATGAGACAGGCCCGCCACAGCCTTCCAAAACCGCTGCAACTCCTATAAGCCAGGATCTACAGTAGATAAAACCCTGAAAACACCGGAACACTGAAGTCCAGCGCGTCCCAGGGATATGAGTAATTGTCTTGGTTCCCGCAACGAAGTGAATCAGACGATATTATAAGAGGAGAAGAAGAAAAACGATAGTTTCCACTTCCCTCGGTGAATTACTGCAGGAGACAGAGTGAATTAAGCCTAAAGGCACAAAGAAGAGACTGTACAACTTTTTGTCTGTCTTGTACCTCGAGCCGTCGTAACCGTCTGTCATTTACACATAGTCAGCTAAACCTTAATATATTCTTGTACAATACATATTTTCCCCACTGTTATTCCTATTTTAATTTAATGTGTACTTAAAAACAAACGTGTTGCGATAAAAGTCAGCCAATTAGAGGACACAGCTGCATAGCGCACGGGTGAACAAACAAACAGACCAATCAAAGGACGCGTGACCCGTAAGTAATTGGCATTCTGTCATGTATACACACAACATCACATCAAGCTATAGCGTCGATATCTTTCAATGGAATTTCGACTTTAATACCAAAGTGAAAAGTTTGAATAGGGTTTGGAGTTGGGCTTTTGGTAGAAGTGCTATATGATATTGCGCTTTTCGTATAGGAGAAATTGCTTGAATGAGGAGCTTACTTTATCATCTTTGTACTGAGCACATGTACTTTGACTGATGTATGTATATTTGCGAAGTTAGGCTTAGGTACAATTACGGTTTTTGAGTGTAAGTTAAGGTTGTGTTGTTTAAATCTGTTCGTTGGTGTGATTAGAAAGAAGTTTTTTACTTGATAAGAGAGGCTAGCAGACAATGACTTGATGGTAAGTTATAAAAGCTGAACTATGGACACTCTCAACATTGTTACAAGGGCATTTTCGGTCTATTGGGATAGGGATCCTTCTCTAGTCTTCCAGGTTATAGGTTAAATTTGTATTTATGTTTTTAAGTGCCTAAAGTTACAAAATTGGTTCTAAATGACATTAAACTAACTTTTTATCCGACGACTGAAAAAAAGTACCTTCTTATTGTTTTTGACAATGTAATTAAAGTTTTCTTTAGAAAAAAATTTACGTAAAAGAAAACATTTTTGGTAATCGTGTTTTCTGGGACCCTTATTGTCACAATACGGCCTGAGCGGTTAAGACACCCGTTACTCATGCATAAAAGTGTGGGTTCGAACCCATTAATACTTGCCGTTGGTAGGTTTCGAAACCTACCAACGGCAAGTATTAATGTGACTTTCTTTCGTTTCCGAGTTATATGTACTTTCTAGGATTATCTAGACACCACTGACTAACGGTGAAGGAAAGCATCGCGAGGAAACCAGAGCTTATAATACCTAATTATAAGTTTGAAATCTCCAACCCGCAATGAGCAAGCGTGGTGAGTAATGGTCAAATCTTTTCCGTGTGAGAAGAGGCTTTGGTCAGCAGTGGGCACTTATAGGCTGTTGATGATGATGATGATGACTTGAGGGAAGGCAGACAAGGCTACTAACAAGTATAACTATTCGTTCAGAATTAAAATATCTAGAAACATCTTTATTATTCCTAGTTCAAGAGTCAGTCACACGATATTAGTATTCTATCCTAATATATTCAATGTTCATTGAATTGAAAGTAGAATTTATTCATGGTGATAACTTAGTGGATGTTATGGATGTTAATGTTCTAGACGATAGTGACTTTCCTCGTAAGTTTTCTTCAGCCAAATCATGTCAGTATGTAAAATTACGTTATTTTCGTGTTGAAGGTCATTCTCATCGTCCCAGTGGCCCATTGTAATAAAATATGTGTCGATTGTTAAGCAATAATCACAATTCTTTGGAGATTCCGAGCTCTTAATGGTACTGATACAAAACGGGTTTATTTATTTAGTACTTTTCGTACAGTTATGTTTTTGGTGACAAAAATCATATACATATTCAATCATACACAGGGTTAACTTAAGTTACTGTACATTAGGTACATCTGTCGGGTACATCTTATTTTAAAAACCTCTTAAATATTAACCCCTCGAGCGTCCTTATGAGCACCCGGTGGATCATAAGAAAAATGCTCAATGCTGCTTTCTCTTTTATAAAATCTATTATTAATGTTTTGTTTTTATTTTGACTGTATTTGTTTTATTTCTATTGTAATGATCCTTGTTTTCGTGTGCCAATGGCCAAATAAATGCATTTTCTTTCTTTCTTTCTCCAAATGTCACGTGTGCACCCGTTGGATCATAAGGAACGCGGACTCTCGACGGGTTAATACTATTTATTTATCCACACTTTCCATACAAAGAAAATGTTGTTCCGTCAATGTGTACTAACCCTAAACTACGCAGTTTAGATGGTAACAGACTCAAGGCCGTTGTTTTAAACTAGCCTAAGACTATTACTTGTGGAACTCAACTTATCTAATAGTTCTTAAAAGCAACACTATGATGAATTGTAACTTGAGCAACTGTTGCTAAGTAAACATAGTGGGTCAAGCGTAAAATTAAGTGAGTATTTGGACTTTGTACTTCGAGATGTTTGGGGTCGAAATGAGGACCTTTGAGAGTTAGCGTCTGTGTTTATGTCTGGGCAATGTTCCTTTCCATCAAAGGAAAACTTTGGATTCTTTGCTAGCGTTGGTAAAATAGTAGGTATAGTCGTGGAGGCCCGGAGGTTTAAGACGCCCGATTCTCATGCATGAGACGAGGGTTCGAAACCAACGGCAAGTACCAATGCGACCTTTTCCGAGTTACATGTACTTTCTAAGATTATCTAGACGCCACTGACAAACGGTGAAGGAAAACATCGTGGAGGAAACCTGGGCTTATAATTTCTAATTATAAGTTTGTAATCGGCAACCCGCATTGAGCAAGCGTGGCGATTAATGCTCAACCCTTCTCCGTGTGACAAGAGGCTTTGCTCAACAGTGGGCATTTATAGGCTGTTGATGATGATGATGATGTTGATAAATTGGGTAGCAGTACTTTCTGATAATCCTGAACCTTTCCAACTGGCTGTTTACAACTCGCCCTCCAGACGTGGCGTGAACTCTTGTGATGAGGAGGCTGCGTTATGACCTTTGACTACACAGTTGATACGGTGGCTGGGCAACTGGCTGCCGCGCAACGTGTGGAAGGTTTGATTCCCGCTAAAAGAGACGGACCTCTCGAGTTTGTTTCGGCATTCCTTCTCAGAGTAGTCAGTTCTAAAGTCTTCAGTTAGAAATGTCGACCTCATCGTTCGCTTGATAAAATTGACGTGTAAAAGTGCTGCCTTGTAGCCTATTTGCAGAAATAAATTCACTTGTTTCACTTGTTTCACTTGTACGGACCAAGTCTTTGTGTGATCAACAAATTGTTGCTGGTGTGGGTGTCATGTGTATATGAACTTGTATGTTTGTAAACGCACACACGACACAGGAGAAAATCCAATTTTTTAATTGTTATTTCTTTTTTATGTTTTCATTTTAACAATTATTTTAATATCCAACGTTTTGATTCTTTTTGAACTGTTTTGAACTGCTTGATGACATAACATTTTGCATGCCGAAAGGTAAAATATATTGGGTCAATTAACTACTCCAACTTATATGTACATCTACATTATTAGCAAGTAAATGATTTCTTTCTTTCTATCTTTTCTTTTTCATAGTCTATCGGTGGACTGTCATGTGCTGTTCAGTTGTTTGAGAAATTGTGTAGTTACAATACACTACTTTGAGGTAATCACTACATAGTATAAAACAAAGTCGCTATCCGCCATCTGTCTGTCCTTATGTATGCTAAGATCTTAAGAACTACGCAACGGATTTTGATGCGGTTTTTTTTAATGGTAAAGAGTGATTCTTAAGAAAGGTTTATACGTTTTTTTTTTAATGGGTGAAAATCATCTAATGGTTGCTCCCGCCTGGGTGTGGCGGGAGGGAGTGCCAGACTCTTACTGACTAAAAACCACCCTGTTCCTTCTCCTGCACGTCGAGCCGGAGCCCCGGTTACCCGTTAGGTTCTTTGCGACAAGGTTTATACGTATAATTCATGCATATTGCGCCTGTGCGAAGCCGGGGCGGGTTGCTAGTGATTAATTAATTCGCTTTTAAAGAACATTTCAAAAACAAAATAATGTAAGTAGTTGTAGTCGACTACAAGCACTTAAAACCAGATTTTTATGTATCTGTAAGTGAAGTAGTACAGGTCTCTTTTGTACCTAGACCTTTCATAAAAACATATTAATCGTAAATGAACCACAGATACACTTTTATCTGAAAACCAGATTAATTGTGTTTTGGGTCACCAATGTCAAAGGCAATTAAGCAATAATCTTTTTTTACATAACATAACATCACGCCTTTTATCCCCGAGGGGGTAGGCACTTAGGCTGAGCTACAAATTACGGCACTTAATGGTACTTTACAATGTAACACCCATTTTTCACTATTTATGTTATGACTCCCATGTAATAGGGGGTGAGCCTATTGCCATATACCAGGCACAATTCCAGACACCGTGCTGCTACTGAGATTTATTG